TCTATATAACTGACTGATGTGACGAGTGATAACAGATACATGGGCGAATTTCTGCTCACTAATAATTCCTTCTAAGACCAAAAGCTGTTGTGTGAGACTGTAGGAAGATATCTGACAATTCATAAAAAGAATTGACTGCCACTAGATAAGAGAACACGAAAGAAAAACAGAAAAAGTCTGTGCATTACCATGTTTTTATAAGGTATAGAATGAATATAAACAAGGGAATGTATGGACTATTTCTATTTTTCTCGTGTTCTCTTATCTACATTCAATTACTTTATTGAATTGTCAGGTATCTTTTTACAGTCCCATAAAACAACTTTTGGTCTTGGCAGGAATTATTAGTGAGCAGAAATTCAGCCGTGTATCTGTTATCACTCGTCACATCAGTCAGTTATATAGAGGTATGACTCATGTTTTCCTTTGGCGTTCGTCACTTCCGATTCAGGAAACCTGTACTACTCAGCTATCGTAGCAATGATCTCTGTGTTAAAATTATATTTGGAATGTGTTTAACCAGTTCTATCACATAATGACTGGCACCAATATTGTCCTTTAATCATTAAATTGGTATTACATGTACATGTATTTTGTCAATCTTTTAACTGAGATATCGTTTTGTTAATCATTTGGTTAATTGTTCATTTTGTATTCTGTAATACATGTAGGTAATATCTTTTTGTAATAATAATCCCTAATACTGTGGGCCAAACTCATCCACTTAGGACACATCTGAAATAATATTCTATCATGGTTGTCTTAAACTTGCTGACATATATAACTTTATGACCTTTTGAGAAAACAAAAAGAAGCAAGTTGAAGTAGCAAGCCCTGATTACAGGTGTCAGAATAATTAACAGCTATGCATATTACTTTAAAAATTAATTACTAAAACTAACCTTTTTCAGAATGTCATTCAATATGTCATAGTTAACATCTTTGATTCCTACAGTCAAGTCATTGCCTGGTTCAGGAAATGCTGATTCTACACATTTTAAAAAAGTTTCAAAATTGATTAAATTGTCATTTCCATCGCTCACTTTCCAACGACCTAATTCACACAGTCCAAGAGTTTGACACAGTAGTTGTATTATTCGACGTATTTCTTCAATATCAATACTCAAAGGTAAAAGAACAAGTCCATCATCGCCAGTTTCTGTGAAACAATTAAATATTTGCCATAATTTAAAAATGTCTGTGGATGAAAGTGCACATGCTGAGTTATCACTTCGTTTTGTATATTTGGCGCCACACAATAACCAACAATAATTTTCCACTTTGTTCAAACTTTTTGCTTTGTTTTCAGAATTCAGATCTTCTACATCTGTCAGAACTTTCTGTTGAAAAATATCAAAAAAGTCTTCAAAAGAGAGTGACGTTTCTTCAATTTCATCTAAAACTTCTTCTGTTTTTTCTTTTCCATATGCTTGTCCAATGTTATTACATAAAACCTAAAAAAGTTTAAAAAACAATGAATGAATGAAACTTTGTTTTATTTATGGCAAGTCAGCACCAACTATATTGCTCCAACGGCATATGGTGAAAAGTGAGACAGGCTAAAAACATATCATAAAACATGCATTATATGCATTAAAAACAAATATCACTGACATTTTAAAATTACAAAATAGGTATAACTGTGCATACAAATATTTAAAATAAAAAGACGAAAATGATATATACCATTAGCAAGATATATCGAATTAGCAAGATGCTGTTCCATAGTATATGCCAATTTTTAGCAATATCCCAATTTTTATAAAAACTATACATTTATGTATTAAAAGTATGATGTAAGATTTAGATAAAGAGCTGGCCGTTTTCTCTATAATATTTCAAAAAAAGATAATGCAAAATGAATATATTGAAAATTTCATTCCAATTATTTTATTTTGAGCAAAGTTATCAATGGTTGTAGTTTTAACAAGATGTGTACTGGTCATTCGAGTCTTAGCCGCATTTCTCCATTTTTAAATTAAATCATTAAATGACCAAACCGTTCTAATCTAGTTAATATTGGAGCTATAATAGCAAGAGCTAAATTTGCCTACTGCACGTCTTTCTTTAGGCCTTAAATGTTATATAAATTATTAATTAAACATTTATTAACTTGCCAAGACCATAATCAACTCTCGATGCCATATATTTCCAACGAATTTCAACACCATGGGCGGTTAATGATTTGATTAAAAAATCAAGAATTTGTTTACTATCGTAACAACAGTAACAATGACAATCAAGACTCCACTATTCTCCAAACAGCCCTAATGTCACTCAGAATGAAGAAATTTGACTGGAAATTTTCAAGATAATCCCTTTTCATTATCTAGTTTTTAACTATCATAGTGAGAACTGTCAGCTCTTTATCTAAATCTTACATAATGCATCTTTAAGAAGAGAGAGAGAGAAATCAGGTTTAACGTCCACTCGACACAAACTAGGTCATTTCCGGACTAACATATGGTTTAATTTTATTTCAATAATTCGCTTGCGCATAGGGGTCTTTAGCAGTGGAAGGAAACCGGAGAAAACCCACGAGGTTGGACAGGCGACCCTACTCCTTGTAACGTACAACCGGGTATTCATCTTTAAGTAAACAGACTATGTAATAATCCTTTAGTGGCATTTAGCAATTGGAAACATAGACTATGTAATATATGTAATATATTGTGTACTAGTGGACCTAACCTTTGTGTGACTTGTGTGTTCAGCTTTTAGTATTGGTTTATTAGATACATAAGACATTCAGTTTATTAAAACCTCCTGGGCGTATTCATTCAATAAAGTATGTTAATATATTATGATAAAAAAAAAAATCCTTGCACTTCATAGGTTATAGATCAATTTAGACTGTTATTACAGAGTATTATTTATGGTCATTGGAGTGGAAAAATGTCATCTATACAAGTATGAAAACACTTATAAATAATTCTTCATTCAATAAAGAATGTTAAATTGGTAGATCATTTCGGTTTTAACTTAATAGATGAAATGAAGTGAAATAGAGTTTAGCGGCCTACTGTTTTGCACCGACTGGGATAATGAAGATAGGAATATGTCATGCAGTGTGCTCTGGGGGGGAAATTTGGCCCGGACAGTGCCACTATGGTCTTGATTTCCTTTAGGTTGTTTTTATGTGCATGCCAATGTTCCTCCATGACTTCACTATTGAAACGCGAGAAAACTATCATCTGGGGTATGGCTGTGTTAATTACTACCTGGTCATAAAACAACGACGGTAAATCTTTAGGAACGTCTCGGTCAACATCATAAGCAAACCTGAGACCTCATAGATCTGTTTAGAGCAGTATTAATGAGTATTTTTACAGATTCTCCTGCAATTATGGTGCTACATGTATATCTATAAAATATTATATACAACATTAAAATCCATTTCCATGTAACCCTATATAACCAATCCCCATCTGTCAAAATATAAATACATCTAGCCATTTGAATATTTAACTTGACCTTCTACATTTTAAATGCTCTTTTAGTTGATAACTCTCTTCTTATTATTAGTTAGCAGACAGGAAATAAGACATTACTGTAAAAACTCAAAATTAACAGTCAGCTAATACATTCTGAATAATGCATGTATCAGACATGTAACTATATGTTCTACAACCATTGTCTTTCATATGCTCTAACAGTCAGAAACTGAAATCTCACTTCCATAAATATAAGACTTAAGACTTCCCAAACTACAATTTTGTGGAAGTTGAATCTCACCAAGGAATATCAGTCCAACAATGATTCAATTCCTTTCAGTATTTACAAAGATATGATCAACTGATTTTTTTGGCAACAAGATATAAACATGCCAGTTTCTTTTGATTGGGGGGGGGGGGGGGTTGGATGGCCGAATGAGTCAACTAGCGTGGTTTCGAATCTCCAGTTGTACGTGACAAGGAGTAGGGTCGCCTGTCCAACCTCGTGGGTTTTCTCTGGGTCCTCCGGTTTCCTCCCACTGCTAAAGACCCCTACGCGCAAGCGAATTATTGAAATAAAATTAAACCGTGTGTTAGTCCTGAAATGACCTAGTTTGTGTCGAGTGGACGTTAAACCCCATTTCTCTCTCTCTATCTTTCTTTTGATTGGCCTCTTTTCAATTTGAATGAATCCAGTTGTAGTCTGCCCAGAAAATGACATATTACATTTAATTTGTCTATAAATCCTCAACTAGTGTAAGTAGTCATTCAACAAGTACCCAGGAGTACAAATAGTAAACATATTCTAGAAAGAAAAAGAGAAATGGGGTTTAGCATCCTCCCAACATAAACTAGGTCATTTCGGCATTAACATAATAAGGTTCAATTTTATTTCAGTAATTTGATTGTGCCTGGGAATCTTTAGCAGTGGATTGGGTGGCCAAACGGTTTGATGCATCTTTCACTTGGTTAAGTGGCGTGGTTTTCAATCCCTGCTTGTACGTGACAAGGAGTAGGGTTGCCTTTTAAGGGTTTTCTCACGGTGCTTCGGTTTACAACTAATAAAAAAGACCCCTACGCACATGCAAATGATTGAAATGAAATTGAACCATATGTTAGTCCTAAAATGACATAGTTTGTGTCAAGTGGATGCTAAACCCCATTTCTCTATTTCTCTTTAGTAGTGGGAGGAGGACCTGGAGAAAACCCAAAAGGTTAGACATATTCTAGCCCAATGTATACAGAGGCTATTTATATCCTAAACCATAGCACATAATGGTGTAATCATTCAACTCTAGATATTTTAAATCTTATAATAATTAACTACCGGTAATTCTAGCCTAGTCTGGACAGAACACTGTTATTAAAAGGCATAAAGTCCTCATGAATCATAATAGTAGGACAACAGTAAACATCCTGGTTGGTAATACAGAATATGGCGTAAAACCTTATTCAGTATCTAGTGTTCTGTAGTCTCAATTACTGTACTGAGGGCATTAACATTTTTATGAACTTGTTAACTTCTAGAACCTAATATGTTTTATGCAAAGTTTACAAATCTTCCTCTCAAAATCAACAATTTATAAAACTTATAAGCCAGCAACTTGTCTGTCAATTTGTATGAAATAAAAAGGTGTTCTATAATATCTCAATGATTTAAGTAAATATATACTGTTATGTATTCAGCTCTATTGTATTTTAATACTGTGATCCAGGATATTTATCAACAGTGAATTTAGACTTGAATGTTTACATATCATATTGACATATAATGTAATATATAAAAAGTAATAATAGCATAAGTTGGCAGGTGTATTTATCTACCTGGTTGAACAACAGACAATAAATGTCACTAGTTTTAGCGGTTAAATTGTTGATACTGTCATGAACCTTGATTATTATGTATACTGCCTGTATATTGTACCCTACATGTATGCACATAAGCTGACACACAGGATTAAAGTATTGAAAAATCTTTTCATAGAAATAAGTTTTTATTGTTACTATTTTTGACTGTGTTACAAATTCTGTTTTAACACACTTTTATAAAAATTAAATAGTTTATATTAATCTACAATTTAATTTTAAAAGAAAATGAAAGAGACCTTTAAAGCACCCTTTTGGTTCAAGCTTGGACATAGTCACAGATATTGTCTGGCACATATTCCTCTAGTATAAGTCTGTCACTTTCTCAGTCATAGATTTCAGTGTTTTTATTTAAATTATTAATACATGTCCAGCACAAAGTATAAAATGTCAGATACAAGTTAAGTGGTGTCTGAAATTTTGTCAAATTTATACAACCTAAATCATTATTTACTTCATTTTATTAGTAAAACAAAATAATCAACTGAATGAACTGATGTTTATTGATCATTATTAATATCTAATCTTTAGTAACCATTACAGAAAGCTTATCCAAAACAAAGGAAGAGTGTTAACAAATAAAGATTACTTCATAAATACTGTATTTATGAATTATAATTAACTGAAACTCGTAATTACCATACTTTTAAAGCCTATGAGGCACAATAAAGCATGACAATCATTGAACGAAACTGAGCTAACCCTAACAGCTTGTACGGTACGTGTTTATTAAAAAGAATGCCTTAATCAAAAGTTTTCAGAGCTCTAAATATTGTGGTGAATTAAATAACCTCTTCCAAGAAATTCTCTCTGATATTTGAAATTTATGAATGAGTTTTAATTCCCACTACTTTTATCATTTTGCTGATTTACTTTGTGTATACATAAATCTTAATGTAAAGTATATAAGAGTGTAGCCTAGCTGTACTCAAATATATGCACTTTGAAATGTAAATTTAAGATTTTGATTTAGTATCTCCCCCTAATGTAAGTCTTACAAACTTTGTAGTGAAGTCGAGATCAGCAAAGGCTGATGCAATATATGCATGTAGGTGACACTGGGTGTTCTTGGAATTATCATTACATATATCTCCGTTTAAATGACATTTAAATTCATTCATATAAATATGGGTTGAAGCCATAGACCAAGGTGATTTTGAAAAGCTGAACGCCTATCAGCCTATGTTTTCATATAATTTCATCTTTATGCATTTCATATAAATCTATTTTTAAGAATAATTACATAATACTTGGCGAAAGTGATGGTAATATCTTTATAAAAGTTTATTCTTGTGAATAAATTCAATGATTGTTTTGATTAACTCCATCACATGAGTCCATGACAAGCCTACACATACATGTTATATTTGGAAACCGTCTATCTCTATCATATTTAGAACTTAAATTACATATTCAGAGATTATAAACGTCCTAAAATATTCACCTTTAATCTAGATTTTTGAACTGTGCCTGTTTGTTGTACATCTAATACAATAAACGCATGCCACAAATATTTCTTGACCTCTTGCAGCGCCATTTTAACTCAAAGTTGATCATGTGACCCGAACCACGTGTCATTTGTTTATAAACATCGTTATGTGCAGGAATGATTCCTTCTGAGTTCTGCTCAGTTATTATCAGGCAGGTATAATTGTATTGATGGAGCTATACCCATGTTATTTGTTCAATTCATATCTAAAAAAAACCCAACGGTAACTTAATGTTTTATTTGTTAAAATTGTCAGTGTTTTAGAATTCCATTTTGAAGTCGAAACACTAAGTCAAAACTAAACAAGTTAAACACTGACTTAAAACAGAAAGAAATTTCGAAATAATAGTACCGGTACTGTAGTACTAGTTACTACAAGTATTTTTACTGCTACTATATTTTCCTGTTTATGAATGTTTGTAGGCGTAAACCAAAACATCATTAAATGGATTACAAAAACAGGTGAAAAATCATTACATGTAGTTCAAAAATAAAAATTATTTCATTGAATTATGGCTGGAAATGGGGCCCCCGGATAAGATTTAGATAAAAAGAGCTGGCCATTCTTGCTATATAGTTCAAAATAGATAATGCAAAATGAATATATTGAAATCTTTATTCAAAGTACTGTATTCTGAGCCACGGGTTATCACTGTTTGTAGTTTTGACAAGATGTGTGCATCTTTTGTTTATTATTATAACCACAGTGTGACGGTACTGGTATATTTGAGACTTGTCCTCGCTTCTCATCCATTTATAAATTGAATCATAAATAGCTGAACTGTTCAAATCTAGTTAAAAACTCTATAGAATCCGATAAAATTTAGAGTTGATTATGGTCTTGTCATGTTAATAAATGTCTAATTGATAATTTATATAACATTTAAGGCCTACCGAAAGATGTACGTCTGCAATAGGCAAATTTAGCTCTTGAATAAGGTATCTTTAAGATTCAAACATGCATAATGCCAGTATGAACATTAAGTCTATTATTTCAGTTAATACCCACATCACACTGAAAATTAAATGTTCACAATGATGTTTTGAATGATTCTAGTTTCAGGCAAAATTATCGACCTACAATTGCCAATGTTTAAGAAGACTTTTGGATTGTTTCATAGGCATGGTACCATGAAGAAAATTTATTGTAAATTTAAAAGCACTAGAGATGATGTGGCTGCTTTGATCGAACAATATACAGAGATAAGTATAGATCACATGACACCAGAGATTAAATTACGTCTTATAACACCAAATTGTCACCTCTGGCATTCCAATGAAGACGATTCACCTTTTTTGGAGCCGTTTTGGGCTTTCTATTGGCCTGGCGGTCAAGCTTTGACCAGGTAAAACTGTTTCTTTTGTATAATTTTTAATTGATTCGCTATCTTAATGGAGCCACAGTTGTTCACTAAACCAAAGGCGCCAGGTTTGATCTCAGTGTTGGCCGAGCCTCAGGAATTTTCTGAGTGGTCTACCCATATCATTGGTGCAGGATGCAGGGCCTTAAAAGAAATAGCATGAAGGCATTCAAACAACAAGGCATTCAAAAATTTGAAATAACAAGATCATGTGTACATATTGGCATGCATTTAAGAGAATCCTTGACAGTTGGTATTCAACGAAAAAATTCAGAAATTTCCCTAACAACATATTGCCCGTCTTGATTAGATATCAGATTCTGTACACCACGTCTGTATTTCAGGTAGGGTAAACAAAGATTAGGGTTCAGTTCAGTTGTATGAAAAATCGGTGGATAAATTCTGACATAGCACCCATTTTTGACATGGTCCTCTGTCACTCTCTTTTTCTTGGTGCACACTCTCCCCTTTTCACGGTCCTCACTTTATGGTTCAGCCTATTTTTAATAGGTGCCCCCCCTCCCTTGTCCTTTTCATTGTCCATGCTACCCCCCTTCCCCCCCACTATGTGGATCCATCTAGAATGGACACTTTTTCCTTTCCCAGGTGGGCCCCATTCTCTTGTTTTTTTTCTCAGCCACCCCAGTTTTATATGTGAACCCTATTTTTCCCCCTAGATGCTCCAAATTTTCTTTGACTGATGCCATGTTATGAAATCTTGTGTTAGCACTATATAGGCTCTGATTATCATTGGATCCTTTTCATTTTATCTAGAATGTTGCCTTTGTTAATATTATGATATATTTTATAGATATATATTAGATAATGGTGAAAGATTTAATGGGAAGACTATAATTGATATTGGATCTGGCTGTGGGGCAACTGCTATAGCTTGTAAATTGGTTGGAGCAAGACATGTTATAGCTAATGATATAGATTCAGGTTGGTTATAAATTTAATACAAGAGAGAGAGGGAGATGGGGTTTAATGTCCACTTGACACAAACTAGGTCATTTCAGGACTAACATATGGTTCAATTTTATTACAATAATTTGTTTTTGCATAGAGGGCTTTAACAGTGGGAGAAAACCAACAGGGCTGGACAGGTGACCCTACTCCTTGTCACGTACAAGCAAGAAATCGAAACCCCTCCACGTGACTCAATGACAGACCTTCTGATTCAATGCGCACACATTGACCATTCGGCCACCCAACCCCCCTTAATACAACAAACTTTTATTATAGTACAATTTAGAATTCAGGGGTGGCCAACCATTTGCCAAATATTATCTGTACGTCTTCAGATTTATTGTTTAGCTTCAAATATTGAATTACCTCATGTTAACCTCTATTTAACATCTGTGGCCGAAAGCTTCTTATCTATGGCTGAAACATTGGTCTACCAAAAAGCTGTGATGCCACTTTGTTCAGTAATAGGGGAAATTTATAGACAATTTATATTAGCTCATTATTAGCCTTAGATGCAATGTGGCACTGGTTGTCCAGCTCCAATTTAGATACTTAATGCAAGCTATGTATTTTAAAGGGAAACAAGATATTAGGTAAACATCATGACTGTGGATCCTATGCAAATAAGCACTTGAGATATACTAAAATAAGCTATGCAATGTATTCCTGTCAGTCATGTTTTTGGTATGCATGCATATGGTCAATAAACTACCTAAACTGGATCAACCTTCTCAATATTTTAACACAATGATTCGAAGATTTTTTTTTATAATGATCTGTGTATCGGTAGCTAAGGCCTTGGAGATGCATACCGTATTTGAGTTGTGATTGTTTAAAAGGAGTAACCTCCCTGATATTGGTCAAAATAAAATATTGAATAGGATTGATCTTGTGTGTTATTTTTATTAAAGTTTCCTTTTGAAGGATTAATCAAAAGTCAACTTTTAGTGTTTTCTTATTTTAGGGAGGTTTTTTGGGGGGCTTATTGTATCGACAGTGGAACAAAAAAAATGATTATATCTCAACACTGTTTTATGTATAGCTGTAAAATTTTCAAAGAAGACAGATTGTCATCCCATTAAACAAAGGAATTACACACAAAATCCAATGAAATCAATTTATTTTTGGAGCGAAATCAACAAGTGTGTGTTATCTTAAAACGATAGTTGCATGTTTAAAATATATTAAAATATAGCCTTAAACACATGGAACCTATACACAGACCTACCATGTTGATGACTATTCCTATAAATCACTATTGTGAGTTGAGAAATTTGCCGATTCCATAGAGCATATAGAAAACTATAGGGAGGTAACTTTGCTATTACTTCCGGTGTAGTATTATTTTAAGTGGCTAGAATGATTCCTATGATTGTCCAATAGTGATTTGACAACCTATTAAGCAAAAGATTATGCTTTTACTTTCTTAGAAAATATGCAACTACATGTATTGCTTTAAGGACTGTATGTGTTTTTAAAATACCTTGAAAAGCATGTCTCCTGTAAGGCCTACACATATTTATATGTTTACTTGTTTATTTTTGTTGGGAGCCATGTGTGGCTCAGTGAGTAAAACATTGGCTCGTTAACCTGGAGGTCCCGTGTTCGTTCATCGGGATTATCCGGTGTAGTTCCCCTATGTCAGTGGTGTAGGATGAAAAGCTGGCAACGGACAAAGCCTTGACAGTTAGAATTCAAAATAAGAGCAGGCCGTAATGTCTCTGTCCGGGCAAAATTACCTTCATTGCACACTGGATGGTGTGAGCCTGTCTTCATTAGGCCAGTCGGTGTAGAAAAGTTGGATGTTGAAACCTTACTACTACTACTACCTGGTGTTTTAACGTCCGCTTCCACAGAAGTGATATCGCAGACAAGTGCTCAAACCTTTTTCACTACATTTCTTTTATTTTAGTTGCTGCTGAATCAATCAAGTTAAACAGTGAGTTAAATGATGTGAACTTGTTTATAACTACACAAAATCTGATTGGTCAATCTACTGCCAAATGTGACATAATATTACTAGGTGATATGTTTTATGATGAGCAATTTGCTAACATCATTAGCGATTGGCTAAAAAAATCATTGACAAAATCATCAACAGTTTTCATTGGTGATCCTGGTAGACATTCCTTTCAGATTCATCCAATGCAAGAACAGTTAAAGAAATTAGCCAGTTATGAACTTCCCAAAAGTTGCAAATTACAAAATAATGGTCTTACATCAAGTTCAGTGTGGGAAATGTCACTTTAAAGGAATGACCTCTTTTGTAAGTTTGTTTGTAAATTATTAGGACACTTCTATCTATAAAGATGCCTTCCCATGTGCAAATTGGGTGATTTGATGATATATTTTGACTATAAACATATTTAAAGTAATTAATCTATCAATTTGCTTCAAATGCCTCTCAAAACATTGTCTTCGCGAGGAAATATGCCAAGCTATAAAAAATCTATTTAAAGAACTTACATTTGTGTCATGTTACTTGCAGTGGCAAAGCTAGGAGAATTCATTGCATATAAAAGATGATGTTGTCTTTTGAGGAGCTAAATCGCTAATATTTGGGGTCTATAAATTGACAGAAATGGGTCGCAACGCATATAATAATGTAATATGAATGTTTATAAACAGATTTATATTCATTAGTTTCTGTTTTTACTGTTATTTTTAATCAGTTATGTTCGGCGAAATACTCCAGAAGTCTCAATCGAATGGCAATCTCTAGCATCTGGTTATTCGAGTCTGCACCGATAATATTTATTGCACATGCTCTCCAGATAAAAATATGGCGTGATTGGCATCATTGTTTGACATGACTTTTGGAATATGTCTAGCCTCGATCTACGAGTCCCTTGTTACAAATGGCACTAAAATGCATTATGGTAAACGATTCATGTGCCAATGGTAAAATGTTTATTTTACCTTAAATATTGGATATCAGAAGCTCATCTTTTTCCGGTAAGATCACAACATCAATGCTGATTTAAATTGGCAAATATTTTGTGTTTTCAATGTCAAAGACTTTGGATGATATTGAGTTAGAGACTTGGCTACTCTAATCCTTGAAACCTAAGTAAATTCTGGGATTATCCCTTGCCAAAGTCTGTCACTTTTCCATGTCTGCTCACTATCATGTTTATCAACATATACATTAACCCCTCCCTAATGAAAAGTGGTCAGACAATCAACACGTGCAACCTTTGACGTCACTTGAGCAGGCAGCCCTAAATCATCAGGCTGCCAATATTTGTCCTGTGTACGCTCAATGGATGTGCAAAATTTTTCTAGAAAGATTTGGTGTCTTCCATACCAAAATTGCCAAACCTTTATTGGAAATAACCACCCGATATACTTTTGTGGGAATGCATTTTTAAGAATATTGTTCACACCTTAGAAATAGTTTTAATAGAGTATGGTTTCATACTAAATGGCATGTTAGTGCTCATTTTTGTCGAATGGTATTCTAATAATAAAATAGAACTAGAACACAGTCACGAGGTTCCAAAGAAAGTTTATAATATGTAGTCGTGTGTGATGACCTGGTAACCGGGCCAATCATTTAAAACTCTTAAAACATTCTAGAATAAAATTATTTTTTTATTATTAAAAATACCCTACATGTCCTTTAAAAAATGATTTGTAAAATTGCAATAAATAATATATAAAATTCATACTATTAAAAAAATTATTATAGCGCACATTTCCACAAATGTACAATAAACATTAGAAAAAACTTACTTTTAAATAATCTATAACAATTATAAAATTATAGTTATATATGAAAATAACTATATAAAGTAGTGTAAACAAAAGTTGGCAGACAACGAAACATATACCCACAGCAGCTAATAGTTGTCTGAGCAGTCCATAAGGGTTGTCAAATTTTGTTGTCGATAATGAAAGGAATTGCAAGACAATAAAAAGTAAAACTGATTAGAAGTAACAATCCATTAAGAAATGAAATGAAATGTGGTTAAACTTAACGTCCTACTGTTCTGCTCCAACTGGGCTAATGAAGATGGCAATCCATTAAGTAATTATCAGAAATCATTAGAAATTGTCTGGTCCATGCTAACGTTTAGTGTACAAAACTTGTAATATTATGAATTTAGCTGGTCAAGTTATGGGAAATTATGACCATAGACACGGTGTATAAATTTAAAGACAATCAGATAATAACTTTAGCCAATAAAGCATCCACATGATTTGCCAAAGTGGTGAAGAACCATAACTCTGTCAGTAATTATCGCAAATCAATAGGCTTCTTCGTCCCATGACCATAGACACTGAATATAAATTTCAAGTCAATCGGATAACAAATTTAGTCTCTAGTCGAGCGTCCACAAGCAATTGTGGATGACGAACTGACGGACTGGGGCAGTGACAATATATAACCACATTTCAGTGTGGGCACTTAAAAATTGTGACCAGAAACATATTTGAATGGAGCCCTCAAGAGGGGGGACAGCATAATACATTCACATGAAAATGTGGACAGAATAAAAAATGATGGGTAACCAGTGAAGTTGATTAAAACTGGGGTGATATGATTATGAAATTTGATTCTGGTAATAAGTCGGGCTGCCAGGTTCTGAACTTTTTGCAATTAATAAGTTAGAAAATTTAATAAATATGAAAAATCTCCAGGTAAAACATAGTTAAAACCAAGCCTTGACCTAAGGCACATGTCACAGACATTGTCAGGCACAAATTATCACAAAACATATAACAAAGATAACTACTCTTAAATACACAAAAATATAAAATACATTATTTTTTGATTACTAGCACTTTTGCTTATTTTATTAAGCTCTTCAGGTAAACAACATTTAGTTCATACAAGAATGACTATGACATCATAGCGTCATAGTAACACAGTACAAAGAAGGTACATAAATACAATACAATACAATACAATACAATATTTAACATTTAACAATATCTTAAAATTGACCATGTTGTGACCAGTCTCTATAATGATTGCAATCTTGTGAGCTAGCCAATGACAGACACAGATTTCAACTGCAGATATCAAGTGCTTTGATAAGTAAGAATTCGAATTTGAGGATGAGTTGTTTGGAGCCTCACTTGATATCAGCATCAGGCCATGGAATGGTATAAAGCGGAATGTTATTTTACATCTTATAATCATTAGGAAATACAATTTTTTTTGTTCCTAAATTATAACCCCAGTATACAACAGATTAATATTTTGTCCCATCTATTCAATAACATTACTTTTAACATCTTATTAAACCAGATTATCCTGGAACAAAGAAGTGCAGCTTTATGTATTTTCATGATTATGGTCTGGATAGGTTAATTAATGTCTAATTAATTATTTAGATAACATTTCAGGCCTAAAGAAAGAGCTGCAATAGACAGATTTAGCTCTTGCATAATGTATGTTTAAAATATAACTTCCAAAAACCCCAAACAAGGGTAGTGAATGGTATTTAGTATACCCGGTACCGTACCTTATCCAAATCAAAATTTGATCTACTGCCACCATCTGATTTTCTTACTTAATTCTCATCATCATGTACAGCATCTTGGTATTCAAAAATTACATTCCACCCAACTTTGGACATTATACGATATGTTTTACCTTTCAATTCTCTTAAAAAAGTTGACAATGGTATTTCATGGATAGTTTCACATATAATATATGCAGGTCTATAACCAAGTAGTAACCACTGCTTTAAAATCTGAATAAAAATTAAAAAATAAAATAATCATAAGATAAGCCTAATCTAAATAGTAATACTGTTAAATTACAAAATTTATCCTTTCTCATAATCTTTAAATTACGTATGTGGTAGACCGTGTTGGTATCAGGCCCGGATACATTGGAGCAAAGGGTAATCAGTGGTTTGGTGTAGTCCCCAGAGTCTTCGTCATGGCTCAAATTCTATGTTCTACTCTCTGTCTTGTATTCATAGTCAGGAATCAACGTATTGGATGCTAACATAACACATACCCATTGAAAGCCTCATTGTCTGGTGATGTGGGGTGGGGTGGGGTGGGGATGGATTGTCACATAATTGTAATTGTATAAAACTTTATAGAGAGAGAGAGAAATGGGGTTTAACGTCCACTCAACACAAACTAGGTCATTTCGGGAGTAACATGGTTCAATTTTATTTCAATAATTCGCTTGCGCATAGGGGTCTTTAGCAGTGGGAGGAAACCGGAGAAAACCACGAGGTTGGACAGGCGACCCTACTCCTTGTCACGTACAACCAGGGATTCGAAACCACGCCAGTTGACTCAACGACAGGCCTTATGATACAGCAAGCACGTGCTAACCATTCGGCCATCCAACCCCCCATTAAACTTTATAGATTACAGTACTAATCTGTACATGGAGTAGTAAGCAGATTGAATGATAGAGTTTATTGCTAGAGTGTTCACAAGATCTTCAAAGTGAGCAGGAATAACTCTCAAATTAATGAACAGAGGCTTTTAAAATTTGTTTGGTTTCCTCGTCTCTCATATCTAACACATAGTAATACTTATAAACCTCAAGCAGATTGGATGATAATGTTTGTTATCAGATATCACTGAAATTCAATGGGATCCTTCATCTAGAGTGGTCACAAGAGATTACAAACAACGAATAAACCAGCATTGGCTCTTGTGATGTAACAATAAAACCATGCAGTTTCATCTAATACTGTCTAAAAATTCTTTTAATGTTTACTTGTACACAAAAAATGGGAATAGATGAAGGACCACCAAGCCTGATGACAGTATTAAGTGGGCGTGTAAACAGGTTCCAATGAAAAAATGTGTTTCCTTAAAGATACATTATGGGAGATATTTATAGAGAGATGGCCATTCTTGCTATAACAGTTCAAAAGTAGATGATGAAAGAAGAATATATTGAAAAATTCAGTCAAATTACTTTATTCTGAACATAGTTATCATCGTTGTAATATTTGCCTAGAAATGGTAGCGAAATGTGTCTTCACCTTCGCCGAACATTTGATTGACAGGCGTTAACTCCACCTACATATCTCGATTATCAAGTAAAGTTTTCAATGGCCTACGGAAACACTTTACAGCGGCCTCACTAAGTACACTCTATCATTTAGCCTCGATCTAACGAACGTATTTTCATCAGGTTACCCCTTATCTGATTTAATCAATTAGTGAAATCCTATTTAAATCCGAGCTGTAGCCGAGCCATCCGTGTGTCTACAGAGTTGATTTTGGTCTTGTTGTTTAAATAAAGATCTAATTTATAATTTCTATAACATCTGAAGCCTAAATTAAGACTTGCAATAATCAGATTTAGCTCTTGCATAATGCATGTTTAAAGATACATTATGTAAGATTTAGATTGAGCGCTGGTTATTTTTGTTGTATTATAGTTCAAAGATAGTTTGCACGAAACAAAACATACACCAACAGCAGCTAAATTGTCTGCGGAGTCGACAAGAGTTGTCGCATATGTATACTTTTATGGATAATGGGGGCATTTACAAGTCACTGATATTAGTTTCATACAGATCGGATGATAACTTTTGTCGAAATAGCGTTCACAAGGTTCATCAAGTGAAAGAAGGGCTATAACTCAAGTAGTAATTAACGAAAATAGGCTTCATCGCTTCACTAATTTATATAATGCATATAAATTTACTACCGATTAGATGATGACTTTTGTTGCTGGAGCATTCACAAGGTTCAACAAAGTGAAACAAGGGCCATAAGTCTAGAAGTTAATCTACGGAAATTGCTGAAATTCAATAGGCTTCTTTGTTTTACTAATTTAAACTAGTCTGTTACATTTCATACTGATCGGATGATAACTTTTCTCGTTAAGAGAAACAAGGGCCATAATTCAGTAAATTAATAGAAATTGTTGAAATTAAATAGGTGTCTTTATCTCATTTTTTTAAACAACATATACAAATTTTTTAAAAATCGGATAATAAATGTAGTCTGCAGAGTGTCACAAGGAATTATGGACGAAGAATGTGGGCGATGGTGACGGCAACGGCAATATATATGACTACATTTCCATAGATAAAAATAGATAGTGGAAGATGAATATATTGAAAATTTCATTCAAATTACTTTACAAGATGGTTTTTACAAGATGTGCAGTGTAGATTGCTTATTATCATAGCAACGGTAATAAATTGATGATCAAGACTATGTCTTGAATATTCGTTTTATCTTAAATCTCATCATTCTGATGCTCCAGAGAGTTGGTTATAGGCTTCAAATGTGAATAAATATCTAAACAATAGTTTATATAACATTCATACTTTGAAGCCAAATTTAGCTCTCACATATATGCATCTTTAATGCAGTATATAATGCTCAGAAACACTTCACTTGTAAAATTGCAATTGTCTTGAAAAGTTTGATGAATTAAGTCCCAAAAAGACCTGATAATATCCGAAATTTACCCTATATTCACTAACCTTATAACTGGACCCTTCAGCATCTATAGATAAAATTCCAAAATATTTTGGGATATTATTCTTTTTGGCTATCTCACTAACAGTATAACTTTGAACTTTTACAGTAATGTCACCTTTGGTAAGCCGTTCGTCTGGATTATAGAGATGACTCTCTGTGAAAAATGATTTGGATGTAATCACAAAGGTTTCTATTCCATTCTTTGAACCCACGACTGCCCTTTCAAAACTAACATTTTGACTTTTGTCATTATATGGGTCAATGTATCTGAAAAGAATAAATTCATATATCTCTATAACTAATGATAGCCACGCATATTTAGAAATAGGCCAACACAGAAGTTTTGTCTCAACAAAAAAAAAAGCCATATACATGTGCGTGCATCGGCTTATTTTAAAGGAAAATTTGGATGTCAAATTTGACAAGGATGTCTTCAGGAAATCTAATCTCTATCGTGTTCACAAGCTTTTCCATACATATACATATATCTGGAAAAAAAGCTGAAAATCAATAGGGTTCATCCTCTACAATCCCACATCCTCTCATGTATAGTCCTCTCGCTTCACACCAAATTTGAAATGAGTGACCAAAGTTATAAAAAATCTGTTAAGCCTTTTGGCAATGGGGATTAACTCTGCAACTAAAGGTCATGGAATGCTGAAAATTGATAAAGTTAAGGTTTGTCATGTCACTATCCCAAATGCTTCACACCAAACTATACATCAAAAACTCTAGCCTCAATTGTGTTAACCAGAAATTGCAATATCAATAATGACAAGGTCATTAACTCCAAAACGGAAAATCAGAGAAAACTGAAAATCAATTGGGATAATTTTCTCATGGTGGCTACCGGTATGCTTCATACTAACTCTAGCTTCTATTCCTGTTAAATTGAAAAGGGGAATAACTCTGGAATAAAAAGGCGAAGAACTCTGAAAGGCCAGATTTAAAAACCGTCTGTCAAAAACTAAGCAACCCTGGCTCCAGCATGTTGTCATTCAAGTAACAGTAACAATTACAGTTGTGGAAATATTAATTACCTAAATGTATTAACTTTAGCCATTTTAATTTCTGTGATCTGTGGTTCCACTAAAACAGCACTCCATCCCCATTGAATAAAATTAAATGAATTACTTGATACTAATCCATCATTAGCTCCGATATCTACAATCAACCTGAAATAAACACATGTATATTTTTGAGTGCATAGATATAAACAGACCTGCATAAACATTTACTAAAATTATTGCCTCTGCAGGGTCTACAAACTTTAAAGCGATAATTTCATATTTTCTAAGTCTTTTGCCCAATAGGTTATCAACTCACTATTATACGACCATGGGCATTATTTCCCACCCTTAAAAATGATTGACACAGGAAATAATAACACAATTACCTCCCTTGTTTTCCTATTGCCTCCATGCATTAGCTACCTTCAAACGTTGGAATTTGAAGTTGAAAATGATATTTTTGCCAATTTCTCAGCTGGCAATAGTGAATTATAGGATTAATAGGATTATTCTTTAACAAGGTAGGACGGTTTATGGATACCATCTATTTTAAGGCTTTATTTTAATAAATTTTAAAAATATAACTTAAAAATATGAAATTGCAGCTTTAAATATATTTCACATTTTGTGCAAAAGGAAGGGGCTACAACTCCAGAAGTTGGGGTCCAAAATCGAACTGTACCATTAATTTTTTTACATGCTTTACCACTATTTGCATAAAAGGGGATAGGATTACTGTCGGGGAGTTACTTTGCGATTTGTACCAAAATCGAACTTGTCTGTGATTGTTGTGTAATAATTATATATCTGAATGTTTTGTCGGCAGTTTTGGTCGGATTTTCATGAAATTTGAACTCAACTGTCATTTTGCTGTAGCCTAACGATAATATATTCGAAAGGTTTTTTTAAATCGGATAAACATTGTGACCTATAGAGGGACCTCAAGCTGAAAACATGATTTTTCGTACAATCAGAGGCCATAATCCAGGAAGTTACGATCCGGTATATATGCGCGAATATCGAAAGGCTCCAAGATCTTTGGGTTATAAATATTTGTTTCAAGTTTCATCAAAATTCGATAAAAATTGTGATCTCCAGAGTGTCCACAAGCTTAAAGTGTGATATTTCAAAAAATCAGGGCCATAATCCATGAAGTTAAGGTCTGATACATGCCTGTTTCGAAATGAAATGAGATCTTTGTGGGAGATAAACCAATGTTTAAAGTTTCGTCAAAATCAGATAAAAATTGTGACCAGTAGAGTGTCTACAAACAAATTGTGGACGGATGTCCAAATGAAAATTTGGGCATATAAAAAAAATAATGAAAAATGTTTTACCGTTTATATGGAAAGTTCCGTCTCGAATTTATTCTCTTTATTAATAAAGATGCCTCCCTATTTTGGGAGAAATCAATTCCAAAGAAACTGATTTGCGGTTCTTTACTGCTTTTGGTCTGCGGAGGATATGTTACCATGTACACTCTTTCGATTGTTTCTTGCATCATCTTTACAAAACCTCCATTTTTTCCATAATGAACTGCTTTCCCCATATCAAAGTGTTTCAAAACTTTCTCCATTGAGAAATCTTGAAGCTCACTGAATACTGTGATTTCATTTTTGATTTTAACAAAAATCCAAATCAAAGTTGCATTAATGAAAATAAATTCTACACCAAAAACAAAGAGTATTAAATAGCAGCATATCTTTACTAAACTGGTGTTTCTCATGGTCAACCTCATTATAAATTCATTTAAGAGAAGATCTGTCCATCTATTTTTTACTTCCCTATCTTGGTATTTATGTACAGTATCTGAAGAATCAGCAAATGCTCACTGTCTTGGTATTTATGTACAGTATCTAAATCTGCAAGTGCCCACTGTCTTGGTATTTATGTACAGTATCTGAAACACCAAGTGCTCACATTCTTTTTCTATATTTATGTACAGTATCTGAATCAGCATGTACAATATCTGAATCAGCAATTGCTCACTGTCTTGGTATTTATGTACAGTATCTGAATCAGCAAATGCTCACTGTTTTGCTATTTATGTACAGTATCTAAATCTGCAAGTCTTGGTTTATAAAATGCACAATGTATAATTACCGTCTTACATGGTACTCAACTGTTGATCTCTGAAACAAACCAAACAGAATTATTGAAATAAAACTGAAACATACATTAACCGTCTGTTGTTTTGTGTAACCCAAAAATGGAATAAATGTCTATAAATCTGTGGTATAAATATAATTTGCTTGCTCATAGGGGTCATTTAGCAGTGGGAGGACATCAGAGGACCTGAATAAAACCCACAAGGTTGGACAGACAAACCTAATCGAAACCATGTCACTTGACTCAATTACAGTCCTTATGATCTAAAGTGCATGCATTAAACCATTCAGCAACTCAATCCCCTTTCAGCAGTAGTAGGCCCTACATACTTGTTGACCTATAATTAATCTATATCCCCAAATCCACGCAAATTTCAACTCCGACATCACTAATTTTCCAAAATTTTATCTAAACATGTCCAATGTCATTATCCAAATACACTTAATATTACAACTCAATTTACCAGACTCATCCATTTTCGTCAAATGTTTTTGCTTGTGAATATATGTCAGTTGGTTAATCAAAAATAGTATATATATATATATATATATGTGCACAGGTGATTTTAATACTGACATTCCTTTGATAAGACTAACAAGTCATTTATTAGTTTGAAAGACTTTGGGGAATTGCTTTAAATAATTTCTATAAAATAATGATATTTGAATGATTTTAAAATATCAATCCTGTATAGCCTAGAAAAAGAGAAAATCATTGTCCTATAACATATAAAACCCAAACACAATTTAAAAGTAGCCTAATAATTGTATTTAAAAGCAATATGTATAATTTCACTTCACTCTTTACGCTTTTAAAGGCTCAATACCACTCTTGTTGTAACTGAATAATATGTCCCAATCTTTATTCTGGTCAACAAACTGTACTATTTTACAATATTCCAATTAATTGATGATACAAATTTCATCTTAACACACCTAATTTAAAAAATTGGAAAAATTCAACTAAATGATTTGAAAAGCCTGACGTAAAGCTTTTCAAATGTGACTTGGATTTTAAAATATTTTGGAACCCTCTGGACAAGTAAAATAGGATTTAATGGATAATTTACACAACAGGTAGGACACTAACACATCTAGTACTTAGAATAAGGTTATTTTGTATTTTCTGGAGCTGTCAAGCCAGCAAGAGTGTTATTGTCACTTTAAATACTCTATGTAAAATAAGAGTTATATCAGTAAAAGCCAAAACATACTTATTTAAAATACAGATGTCATCCTTTGATGTTGGTGTGGAGCCATGGTGGCTAAGTGGGTATGACAATGGCTCGCTACTTGGAGGTTGCATGTGCGATCCTGGTATGGCCGAGAAAGTTCATCAGGATTTTCCAGTGTGACTTCTCCTTGTTAGTAGTGCAGGACAGCTGTCTAGTCTTTCGGATGAAACAAAAAAATGAGGACATATACATTGGCATGCACGTAAAAGATCCCTTGGCAGTTGGAATTTGATATAAGAGTAGGCCATTGTGCCCCGCCCAGCAAAATTTCCCTCACAGCACACTGCATAATACATTGAAACAACACTCAGGACTAACATCAACATCCCTTGCTCTCAAACATTAAACTAGACAACTCATCTAAATAATGCTGCTGCTACCGATAACTGTAATTAGCTAACCCTAATTTTAAGAGAGGTTTCTAATAAAATATGAATGCATTATTTGCAATGCACTCAGTGAATGAGCATTTCTTTAAAATGAAATACTATAAATAATGTTAATAGGTAAATTTATCCCTCTAAATTCCATCAATATTGGCTGTCACTTTACAACCAAGACTATAATTTCTTTGAATTCTAAAATAAACATACCTACTGAAGATAAATCACTAATACTGGAATGAGCTAATGGCTACTATTAATAAACTATCTACCGGATACAATACACTACAGAATTTGTGTAGGGAAGGAAATGGTTCAGTGCACACAAATCTATAGCCTAGTGGTCACATGACATAGTACATCATGTATTAAAGTAGTTTATATATTATACACAGCTTAAATTGACAACATAAACAAAATCAACTGACTGCATGGGTAAAAATATTACTCTTGTCACAATATTATCCAATATAGAAATTTACATATAAAACCCACACATATTGGCCTCGCTATAGTTAGTCCTTTTCTTATGTTTCAAAGATTTGGAAAGTATCTGTTCAATTAAAGAGGCATTATGTAAGGTTACATAAAGAGCTGGCAGTTCTCACTATAATAGTTAAAAAAAGATAATGTAAAGGGAATATGCTGAAAATTTCAGTCAAATCACTCCACTCTGAGCAGAGTTATGGGAGTTAGAAGAACAGTGTAGCCTCGATTGTCATTACTACTGTTGTTAAGATAATAAACAAAGTCTTGATTATTCATTTTTAAATAAATCATCAAATGGTCGAACTATTCTAATTTACTTAAAATCGGACCCATCTGATGGCATTAAGAGTTGATTATGGTCTTGTCATGTTAATTTATAATGTCTAAGGTCTAAAGAAAAAAAGAAAATCATCACCTTATTACCACACATTGGATCTGGACTTGAAAAAATCTACCTGTAATTGCTATAAACCAAGTCCTCAATGCACAAATATACATTTTGACACTTTTAACTGAAATTCGTCACAATTGTAATTTTTTGTCCAAAAAAAAAAGCGGTTGCAATGCAAGATACGCAAGAGATGGACAAGCTCAAACAAAACCATTTTTTTGTACAATCTGGGGCCATAATCCAAGAAGTTACGGTCAGAAATGTGCAAATATCGAAATGAACCAATATCTTTGGATTTTAAGTTTACAACAAGTGGTTGCCATGCAAGATACGCCCACATTTTGTAAGAGATGGACAGAGAACAAGCTGAAAGTAAAAGGTTCTTTTTGTACATTCAGGGGCCATAATTCAGGAAGTTAGGGTCAAATATGAATGAATATCGAAAATATCCGAGATATTTTGGATACAAACATATCTTTTAAAGGAGCTAAGTCTCTAACCCAATATCATCCAAAGTCTTCCACATTGAAAACACAAATTATTTGTCAATTTAAATCAACATTGATGTTGTGATCTTACTGGGAAAAGATGGGCTTCTGATATGCAATATTTAAGACGGGGGTTGGATGGCCGAATGGTTAGCATGTGTGCGCTGTATCATAAGGTCTGTCATTGAATCAACTGGCATGGTTTCGATTCCCTGGTTGTACGTAACAAGAAGTTGGGTCGCCTGTCCAACCTCATGGTTTTTCTATGGGTCCTCCAGTTTCCTCCCACTGCTAAAGATCCCTATGCGCAAGCGATTTACTGAAATAAAATTGATTCATGTGTTAGTCCCAAAATGACCTAATTTGGGTCGAGTGGACGTTAAACCCCATTTTTCTCTCTCTCTCTCGAATCGTGTACCATAATGCGTTTCAGCTCCAGTTGTAACAAAGGACTCGAAGAACAAGGCTAGACATACTCCACAAGTCATGTCAAACGGTGACGGCATAATAATATTCTTATCTGAAGATATGCGCAATAGACTGGAATAACCAGATGCTAGAGATTACCATTCTATTGAGACTTCTGGCATATTTCGCCGAACATAGCTGATCCAAAATTAGAGTAAAAATTGAAACGACTGAATGTAAGTTACATTATTATATGCATTGCCACCCATTTGTGTCAATTTCTAGGTCCCAAATATTTTAGCAATTTAGCTCCTTTAAATTTCATCAAAATCAGATAAAAAATGTGAAATCTCTCTAGACTTTGTATTACATGCCTTTTCACTATAAATTAACAATGATATATTTAAACATTTTTTTATCTATATATATATTTGTGACTGTCGTTTGTCTGTCTGTCTGTCTGTTCGGGGTTGGCGGCTACACTAGGTCTGCCCCGAGTCTGGAATTTGATGTATAGGGGTAGCTCGGACCGGGGAATAACATAGGCCAGGTGGCGTTAGTCTACTACATCTGGTTTCGGAGTTATGACCCCCGAGCGAAGCCGGTCTGTTCAGGGTTGGCGGCTACACTAGGTCTGGCCTGAGTCTGGAATTTGATGTATAGGGGTAGCTCGGACCAGGGAATAACATAGGCTAGGTGGTGTTAGTCTACAACTTCCGGTTTCGGAGTTATGACCCCCCCGAGCGAAGCTGGTCTGTTCGGGGTTGGCGGCTACACTAGGTCTGCCCCTAGTCTGAAATTTGGGGTATAGGGGTAGCTCGGACCGGGGAGTAACATAGGCCATGTTGCGTTAGTCTACCACTTCCGGTTTCGAAGTAATGACCCCCGAGCGAAGTCTTTCTGTTCGGGGTTGGCGGCTACACTAGGTCTGCCCTGAGTCTGAAATTTGGGGTATAGGGGTAGCTCGGACCGGGGAGTAACATAGGCCAGGTGGCGTTAGTCTACCACTTCCGGTTGGCGGCTACACTAGGTCTGCCCCGAGTCTGAAATTTGGGGTATAGGGTAGCTCGGACTGGGGAGTAACATAGGCAAGGTGGCGTTAGTCTACCACTTCCGGTTTCGGAGTTATGACCCCCGAGCGAAGCCGGGTATCCTGCTAGTATCTGATAAAACAAGCGGTTGCCATGCAAGATACGCTCACATTTTGCAGCAGATGGACAGAGAACAAGCTAAAAAGAAAAAGAAGCGATTCTTCGTACAATCAGGGATTATAATCCAGGAAGTTATGGTCAAATATGCATGAATATAAACATATTTTAAGTTTCATCAAAATCAGAAAAGGAGTAGCTATTTTGTTCGGCAGTTTCAGTCAGATTTTTACAAAATTCGAACTCAACATTCATTGATGTCTAAAGGTGATATATTTAAACATTTTTTAAAATGGAATACAAATTGTGACTTCTAGCAAGTCCACAAGCTAAAAATGCGATTTTTCAAACAATCAGGGGCCATAATTCAGGAAGTTATGTTTGGATATGCTTGGTTATCAAAAGGAACCAAGATCTTTGTGATATAAATTTAAAGTTTCATCAAAATCTGTTCGACCTTGATATACCATATTTTTACACTATTTGCGTATGAGGGGAGGTCATTTTGTCGGACAAATTTGGTCCGATTTTCACGAAATTCAAACTCAACCAACATTATGGTGTAAGGGTGATACATTCAAATGTTTTTTTAAATCGGGTGAAAATTGTGACCTCTAGAATATCCACAAGCTAAAAACGTGATTTTTCGTACAATCAGGGGCCATAATCCATGAAGTTATGGTCGATACATGTCAATGTCAAAAGGAACCGAGATCTGTGGGAGATAGACCTATATTTCAAAGTTCGTCAAAATCGGATAAAAATTGTGACCATCCCAAACTTAGGCTGCCTATCTACAGCTAGCTCCGGCTGAGAATAGGCCCTAAGCTAATTAACCGACATTTTAATTCCTACATCGACGATTTTAGTCGAAAACACTGAGTATGCTTTTAGAAATTTTTAAAAGTATTTATTTCTCTTCTATTGTCATATTGAATGAAATTAAATATGTTTATTTAGCCGCTGTGTGTATGAAAGATGTCAAACTAATCAAAGCTGAATCACAAAAGAGTCCTCTAATTATTCAATATGGCGGCGCCCATGAAACATAATTTCACAGAGGCGGTTTTGTTTGTGAAAACAAATTTAGAAGTATCTAACCTTGTTTTGAAAAATAAACAGATTGAAACTCTAAAGACAGTTTACAATGGTAAAGAATTTATTGCAATATTACCCATAGCACATATCATATATCGCTTTTACGCGAGTGTCAGCGACATGGCGTGTTTACATAAAACACATGTGCTTGGGTTATTTTTACTCTGTTGTCTAAACCCTGCTCAGCTACATGAAAAATTTGTAAAACAAGACAACAGTGAGGCTGATGTCCCCCGCCAAAATCCCAAAATGAATAGATGACAGATATTAATTTATCGCAAATTCATTTTTTTTCAAAAGTATCACGCAATCAAACAGTGAGAATCAAAGTTATCTTGTCCTAAAGTATCAATCAATGAAATTGATTAGCTCTGCTTAGCTTTAGCTCAAAATGTTAATCATTGAACTCAGTCAAGACATTAACCTAATGAACATCTACATCAAGTTTAAACATTCTACCTTAATTAAAAGCAGAGTTGTTATGTTCTAAAGTCTTGACCAATCAAATTGCTTATCGCTCCTTAGCCAAAGCAGACAATTCTCATCATCGAACTTAGTCATGGTAATGATGTAATGAATCTATACTCAAAAGTTTCATCACTTACTTAATTATAACCAAAGTTACACTATAAACCTCAGAATGCCTCGTTCAGCATTTTTGTCCAAACGTGGCAAAAATGTGCTAATAAAATTTTTGCCACAATTTTGCCACGTTGTAACGTGGTAAAAACAAAATGCCACATTTGTCTGGAGTTCCAAAACATATTTTTTTTAAATTGCCATGTTTTTGGAAAGAGGTATTTTGACCAGAACGAGGCTGTTAACAAGTTTCGATACATGATTTTTCAAAAGGGTTGGGGGTGGGGTTCAGCCAAACCAAAGTTTCGTCAAGCGTATCGAGGACAGCATAACATTATTTGGTGACACTTTCAAGCGATTACGTAGAGAAAAAAACACAAGGCAAAGTCGACTAGAAATGACATTTGTTGCATAAAAGAGTTTGTTACATTCTTTGTTGCAGTTTCATAATATGTTCACATATTATTTACGACAAAGAGATGTGAGAAATGAAAAACAGCCAAGTTCTTTGTTGCAGTTTCATATGTTCACACAATATTTCCAACAAAGAGATGTGAGAAATGAAAAACAGCCAAGTTCAAAGTGGAGCGAACTCAATAATTGTTTTTTAGGCCTTTGAATATTATTAATTACAAATATGCTGTTCCATTTTTTATATAATGAACGATATTATATTTAATATATCTTATGAAATTATATGTAATTGGCGCAACATACATGATATGATTTCATCATACATGCGTCGTTTGTTATATAAAAACAGGAACAGTATATTTGGTTTGGCTGAACCCCACCCCAACCCTTTTGACAAATGGTGTATCCAAGCTTGTGATCAGCCTCGTTCTGGACAAAATACCTTGTTCCAAAAACATGGCAATTTAAAAAAAACCCCAAAAATACGTTTTGGAACTGCAGACAAACGTGGCATTTTGTTTTTACCACTTTACAACTTGGCAAAATTATGGCAAAAATTTTAATAGTTTTTGCCATGTTTGGACAAAAATGCAGAACGAGGCATTCTAAGGTTTATCTCTGCTTACCGTAACCAGACAATGTTTATCATCAAACTAGATCAAGGCATTCATCTAATGAATGCCTACACCAAGTGTGAACAATTAGAGTATTGTGTTGAAAAGTCTCGACCAATCAAATTGCTTATTGCTCTATACCATGAGCATAAAATGTTCATTATCGAACTTAGTCAAGGTATTGTGATAAAACTATCCACCAAGTGTCCTCACTCTCCCTTAATTAGAACTTAAGTTATCGTGTCCCAAAGCATCAACTAATCAAATTGCTTATATCTGCTTACCCTAAGCAGAAAATTCTCATCTTCGAACTCCACAAGGCATTCAACTAATAAACACCTACAGCAAGTGTGAACATTTTAGCTCAATTAGAATGAGAGTTATTGTGTTCCAAAGTCTCGACCAATCAAATTGTTTATCGCCCTGCTTACCCTGAGCAGAAAATGCTCATTATCGAACTTTGTCAAGGTATTGATATAATAAAACTATATAAGCAGAAAATGCTCACTTTTGAACTCCATCAAGGCAATGACCTAAAAAACACCTACATCAAGTTTGAACAAGCTAGCTCAATTAGGAGGAGAGTTATTGTGTCCCAAAAAGTGTGACGGACAGACAGACAGATGGACGGACGGACAGAGAGCCGAACAGACAGACATACAGACGAACGAACCGATTTTAATAGTCCCCTGCTTTCTTCAAAAAATGAGAAAAGTGTCACAGTCGTGTGCTTTATCCATTGTCAGCGCGAGATAATGATATAGGCATATGTGATATCACAATTAATGCTTTGCATCAATGAAATTGAATCACAATGTCACAGTATTAATTCATAATAATAATTAACGTCAAACAGGGTGTCGGATTTCTACGTTTAAAACGCTCAATGTATTTCTCATAAACCCATTTTAATACACCATTATTAAGGAGAAGTTAAAGTGGAGAATAAATCTTTTATTTAAAGTTTTTATTTAAATTCGGCTACCCTATACCGGTGTATATGATACGTAAAATTTATGTTGCATGTTAAGTTTAAAAAAATAATAAAATATGAAAAATGTCTAAGTAAAAAAAGTTCTATATTATCTAACATTAATAGGCCTATAATTGTACAAAATCTTAAAACAAGTATGGTCTTAAGCATGGGCTTGAGAACATAAAAGGTCTGTAATTGAGTCAAGAGGCATAGTTGTCTTTTAAACCTCATGTTATTTTTTAAAGAAAAGGCCCCTTATGCGCACACAAATTATTGATATAACATTGAACCATTTTAGTCCCAAAATGACCTGGTTTGTGTGAAGTGGACCTCTCTCTCTCTCTCTCTTGGCTATTACAGTGGTTATTCATCCAATATAATAACTTCTCTATTCTAGACCTAACTTTTTAAAGCACTGTAGACTAAAGTCAATTCTAGGTCCGCTCCAGGATAAGATGGCTGAAGCTAAAGTTTCATTGGTTTCCTAGTAGACCCACCACTTTTCATTTCCGCTGCAACTGTTGCATACTTGACAAAGTTATACACAGGATTTCATGTTCTGACTGCACTTGATTACAAAACTTCATTCTAAAAAGCAGGAAGCAGACTTGTAAAATTATCTCCTGTCTCAGGTATTAAAATGGTCAAAAAGTCCAGTCACAGGTTAGGGGTATAAATATCCCAAAATATCCAAACCAAAATGAGATCTATGTTACCACCACCTTCTGATTTTCAGAATTCATTGTCATCATCATGTACATCTTCTTGGTATTCAAATATCACATTCCAGCCAATTTCAGACATTATACGATAACCCTTAGCTACCATTGCTTTATAATAAGTTTCCAACGGTTTTTCGTGTATAGTTTCACATATAATATATGCTGGTCTATAACCAAGTAGTAACCACTGCTTTAAAATCTGAATAAAAATTAAAAAATAAAATAATCATATGATAAGCCTAATCTAAATTACAAAATCTAAGTAGTAGCAAAAATTGAGTCTTTTTGCCTTCTCACATAAAAGATGCATTATGTAAGATGTAGATAAAGAGCTGGCCGTTCTTACTAGAATAGTTCAAAAATGGATAATGAAATAATGAATATACTGAAAATTTCATTCAAATTACTTTATTCTGTGTGAGGTTGTCAGTTTGAAAATTTGACATAGATTATTTATTATCGTAGCAATGTTACTTGTAAACTCAGTCTTGCTTCTCCATTTTTAAAATTAATTCATTAAATGGCAAACCGTGTTTTAATCTGTTTAAATCTCTGCCTTCCAATGGTCTAGAGAGTTGATTATAGGCTTGTCAAGATAAAAACCTGTAATGGGCTGTTTTAGCTCTTACATAATGCATCTTTAATAATATATTTATATAATCTTTGAAGATGGGTTCCCGCGTACAAACTGGGTGATATAATGGTATATATGGGCTAAAAACATATTCAAACTAATTAATTTGTCATAATTATGCTTCAAATCCTTCTCAAACATTGTAATTGCAAAGGAATGCCCTGCTGTTAAAATTCGATCAAACCAGGTCATGTTTACGTCACATCTTGGAAGTCAGAGGAGAATTCATTGCATACATACGACGATGTTGTCTTTAATCGTTTACTATTTATTACAAATATCGAATCCTAATTAAATTCTCGGATTATCCACTACCCGCGTCTTTTTCCGTCATTTTTATCTCAGAAAGTGTTGTACATCTAACTCCTCATAAAGTTTATCAACTTGTTCATCAAGCGCTCAATGTTCGTGTGTGACCTTTGACATCACGCATGCAGAAATTCAGAACCGTTGGGTTGTTGATTAGGGGAACCCATACATTTTTGTCCTGTATACGCTCCATGAGTGTTTTTCGGGGAATCCAGTATTTTTCGAGTAAGATTGGATATCTCTACTTTCCATATATACCAAAATTGCCATACTTTTATTGGAAATAACCACCCGATAAATACTTTTCTGGGAACCCATCTTTAAATTATGTCTGTAATATGCTCTGTTGGTACAGCATCTATTTCTGCCTTCTACTCTTTATACATGTTCAACTGGATTTATAGAATAATAAGAGACAGCCGTATGGATGACATTCAATAGGTTTAATAACTACAACGTTTCTATAAGGTTAGTCTCACCATTATCAAGCAATGATGAACCTAGTGAATGTTATCCATACAGCTGTCTGTTATTATATTTTGCTTTCACTAATAAATGCCCTTTAAAAATATTGGATTTATAGATGAGAAGTAGGTATTGGATGCTAACACCCAGTGGCAGCTTCACTGCTCGGGGTGGGTGATGGGGGTTAGTTAATGATTATCGGTACCAAACAATAAAATACACAATGAGTTATAACATATATATATAGCTGTTTCATCTAAGTCTGTCAAAATGTCTTAGAATGTTCCTGAATAATGATGGATAGATGGATCACGGCAAGAGAGAGAGAAAAATGGGGTTTACTGTCCACACGACACAAACTAGGTCATTTTGGGACTAACAATTTGTTTAAAAGAATCAGTTATGCAGTAGATAATGCTCTAAAGCAGTTTTTTTGTAGATTTGGGATTGTCTAGAATGGAATTATTTCAATTTCTGAAATTTACTCAATCGTTACTGGGTCATTCCATGTCAAGTGGGTCATGGGTGGGAAATCGACTCCCTCGAAAAAATCTGGAAAAAATATATGTTATTGTACATGCAAAAACTAGAAACTATGCAAAATTTGTGGTCTGTAGCTTGAAAATTGACTGAGATACAGGCATTTGAGTTACTGATGAGTTTTCGAAACAAAATATGTATCAATAATTTACTCGAGTTTCAGATATCTTATTTTTGCCTTTTTAGTAAGATATACAGCTCAGATTTGGTTGTCTTAAAGAACTTTTTGTGTAGATTACAAATCTGTAATCAGATTACAGGTTGGTGGTAGAGTCCTCCAAGAGCTACAAAGTGATAGATATAGACCCAAATCTTCGCCTATCCAGAGATTGCCTGTAGTACCACATAAGAAACATATGAAAATGCACCAGTCTTCACTAGATTCCCAGAAAATTGGCCTCAAATATGGTTTTAGACACAAATTTTCGAAAATTGCCTTGTATTTACGAGCCGATAGAACCCGCGTATATGAGGACCTAAAAATCTGAAACTTGGTGGAATTATAGTTTCTATACTAATGTCTCTAACATAATACATATGTTAAAACTATTCTTGTCCCTTGCCATCTCAATATTTTTTTGATTTTTTCAAATCTGTGTTTTGGGTCATATATTCCATGTCAGCTATCACCGAATGAGTTAAGCCGTACCTCCTTTGATTTTGCTGAAATTTGGTTTATATGTTTATTATTGCTAAAAAAACTGATATTACTAATTTTAGCTTGATCCGACTAACAGTTCCTGAGAAACGGTCCACCCAATTTTGGGGATTTCGGCCAAAATGGGCGTAGCCGCCATTACTCAAAATGGGTGAGCCGCCATTACTCAAATGATTTTAACCCATTAACCCATCTACCAGGCTTCTATCGGCTCGAAAATACGAGGCAATTTTAAAAAATTTGTCTCTAAAACCATATTTTCTGGGAATCTAGTGAAGATTGATGCATTCTTATATGTTTTTCATGTAGCACTACCAGCAATCTCTGGATAGGCCAAAATATGGGTCTATATCTATTACCTTGTAGCTCCTGGCGCACTACAAAATCCAGAAAAATGCAATTACACCAAATTTTTTTCGGTTTTCATGACCTAGTAGCATCCGACACCTAGTTCTCACCTGTCATCTGATTGCAGATTCGTAATCTACACACAAAGTTCTCTAACGCTACCAAATTTGGGCTGTATATCTTTACTCAAATGCCCGTATCTCAGTCAATTTTCAAGCTACAGACCACAAATTTTGCACAGTACCTAGTTTTTGCATATACAATAACATATATATTTTTCTGATTTTTTTGAGGGGGCCAATTTCCCAAATTTCTGAAAATTGACCCACTTGACATGGAATGACCCTACTAACCTTATAACTGGACCCTTCTGCATCTATAGATAAAATTCCAAAATATTTTGGGATATTATTCATTTTGGCTATCTCTCCTACTGTATAACTTTGAACTTGTATAGTAATGTCTTTTTTGGTAAGCCGTTCGTCTGGATTATAGATATGGCTCTCAGAGAAAAATGATTTGGATGTAAGCACAAAGGTTTCTATTCCGTTCTTTGGACCAACGACTGCTCTTACAAAACTGACATTTTGACTTTTATCATTGTATGGGTCAACGTATCTGAAAAAAGCAAGTTCATATATCTGTCTATACCTAAATATGGTGGAATGCATAAAGACGTATTGGATTGCAAGTCAATTTATAGCATATCTGAGCCACTGTTTAAGTAATAATATGAGTATGAAGTAATGAAGATCAAAAACTCAAGGGGGAGCAGAAACTTATGATGCAAAACGTGCCACTGCATCCCTTTCACTTAAAAGGACAATATTAGTGTCAGTCATTATCACATATGTGATAGAACTGGTTAAATATGTTCCAAATATAATTTTGACACAAAGATCATTATTATGATAGATGCATAACGAAGAATTGAAGAAAAGGTAAATGACGAAAGCAAAAGGAAAACATGAGTTATCCTTCTATATAATTGACTGAAATAACAAGCGATAACTGATAAACGGGCGAATATCTGCTCACTAATAATTCCTTCGAAGACCAAAAGTTGTTATATGAGACTGTGAGAGTCTGTGATAATGACTGACACAAATATTTGTCCTTTAACCCTTTATCCCAACTGGAGATTGGGTGTTCGATCCCTGCATTGGCCAAGAAAGTTCATCCAGATTTTCGGGCGTGGTTCTCCCTTGTCAGTGATGCTGAACGGAGAGCCTTACAAGGACAGCTGTCTAGTCGTTCGGATAGAACGGAAAACCGAGGTACCGTGTACACATTGGCATGCATGCAAAAGGTCCCTTGACAGTTGGAATTCGAGATAATAGTAGGCTGTAGTGCCACTGTCCGGGCAAAATTTCCCTCATGGCACACTGTACGGGCATACGTCTTCATTATATTAGCCCAGCTTGGAACAGAATAGTGGACGTTAAACCCCATTTTATTTCATTTCTTTTATCCCAATCTGATAAAATTATGACATTGGTTGATTTTGTATTAAAGACAGAAGGCCCACTCAAGTTGCTGCTGTAATGTTGTTAACGAAAATAGTGCTTTCTTCTTCTATTAGTGTTTAATGTCCACTTCCACCGAGGGTGACATTGCAGACCAGTTGTCTCACTTTTATTATCTTAGACCACGTGCAGGGGTCTTTCCTGTGGCAGGATAAGTTGAGAACTTGCACACCAGGGATCGAAATCCCGACCACAAGATTGAGGTGACCGCGAGAGCTCAAAGCACAACACTCTAGACAACTAGGCTCTCCCGATTCCCCTACGAAAATAGTCTACTTTCACAATCTTTTAGGCTAACATGGGGTAATCATATAGCAATAGCTGTAATCGATTACAAATTTTGAAGTTATCAGATGTAACCTGTAATTGAAACATTTCTGATTACATGGCAAAGCACACTGATCAGCAGTAAATTTTCGCTACAATCACTGATAAGGATGACATCGATGCAACTTAATGAGTCCCAAATATTAACTTTTTTCTTCCGTCAAATTAAATTCTAAAACATTTTTTTCATTTATTAGAAAAATAAATAAATACGTTTGAATTGTTTGTAGGTAAAAATCATTTCCTATTTAGTGTAAATGGGTATTAAAATAAGTAAAATTCACCATTTAGCCTGAATCAGTAACGTCTTATGTAAACAATGCACGCGCTATTGAGCCAATGATTGACGCCGCGTGATGTGACGTCACGCGCCGAAACAGTCATCTGTAACAGAGATATTAAAAGATCTCTGTGAAACAGATTGATGGCAAAAGCCATGCCCTGAGCCGTGAGAGAAATTTCGGCCTATCCTTCAACCAAATGTCAAGCATTCTTTTACTTGCACTCCAAGGTTTCATTGTCCCATCTGGAGCACCACTGATGAGGTGAAACTACATTGGAAAACCCTTGGGAACTTTCTCAACCAACATTGGGATCGAAACCAGGACCTCCTGATTAGTCAGCTCGCGCCTTACTCACTGAGTCACATTACCTAAATGTATTAACTTTAGCCATTTGAATTTCTGTGATCTGTGGTTCCACTAAAACAGCACTCCATCCCCACTGAATAAAATTAAATGAATTACTTGATAATAATCCATCATTAGCTCCGATATCTACAATCAACCTGAAATAAACATGTCAATATTTTTATATATGCAATTTAAAACAAACAATTGTGTAGCTGCAGGCCAGGAATAAAAGATTTAAGTTGTACCAGAAAAAATATCAGGTACAACTGAACTACTACATGACACTAAAAAGACAAATGAAATGCAATGACCTCCAGGCTAGCGAGCCAGCATCTTACCAACTTAGCCATGTGATCCCCACTAAAAAGACAAATCTTTTCTAGACATAATGGATTGTGTCATACTAAACATATGCAGTCTGACTAACATTAGCTCCGCAGCCTCCGCTTGAGAACAGATTCTAAGCTAGTTGACTGACATTTTTAAGTCATAAATCGACGATTTCAGTCAAAACATTAAGTACATGTATCCTTCAAGGATTTTGAGAAGTATTTATTCCAATGTTTATTTAATTGTTGTGCGTATGTGACATGTGAAACGGTGTAGAACCACATTACAGAATAGTACCGGTATACCAATATTTGGATATGGCGGCCATTCAGGGCAGAGATCTGTTCTCGAAGTAGATTGTTCTTGTTGTGCAGAATGGAGGATCACGATGGCTAAGTGGGTAAGACACTGGCTCGCTAGCCTGGAGATCGGGTTTCAATCCCTGCATTGACCGAGAAAGTTCATCCAGATTTTCCGGCGTGTTTCCCCCTTGTCAATGATGCAGGACGGAGGGCCTGACAAGGACAGCTGTCTAGTCGCTCGGATGGGATGAAAAACCAAGGTCCTGTGTACACATTGGCATGCACGTTAAAGATCCCTTGACAGTTGGAATTTGATATAAGAGTAGGCCGTAGTGCCACTGTGCGGGCAAAATTTTCCTCATAGCACACTGTATGGCGTATGCCCGTCTTCATTAGCCCAGTTCGGAGCAGAACAGTAGGACGTTAAACCTCATTTCATTTCATTTAATGTTGTGCAGAATGAGTCTGAACTTGTGTCTGACAATGTTTGTGATATTTGTATATGCCTTATTTCCAGACTTGAGTTGAAAAGTTGAGTTCTCTCTTCTGAAACTGACAGTAAATGCCGGTGTATTGGATGGAATCGAAATGGTGGGAGAGAGAGAGAGGGCGAGAGAGAGATAGAGAGAGAGAGAGAGGTTTAACCTCCACTAACACATGGTTCAATTTTATTTCAATAATTCGCTTGCGCGTAGGTGTCTTTAGCAGTGGGAGGAAACTGGAGGACCCGGAGAAAACCATTCAGCCATCCAACCCCCCTCGAAATGGTGAGGGATTGTTATATATATATATATATATAGAGAGAGAGACTCAGTTTGATTTCATCAGATTTCATCAATGTCTATATTGATGACTTAATTTAGTTTATTGATTTCATGTGTGTATCTAATTTGTAACGCGCATATGGGCACTTAAAACAAATAGATAATAAATAAAAGCAAAAAGTTATACCTTTTATATGGAAAGTTCCGTCTCGAATTTATTCTCTTTATTAATAAAGATGCCTCCCTATTTTGAGAGAAATCAATACCAAAGAAACTGATTTGTGGTTCTTTACTGGTTTTGGTCTGTGGAGGATATGTTACCATGTACACTCTCTCAATGGTTTCTTGCATTATGTTTACAAAACCTCCATGTTTTCCATAGTGAAGTGCTTTCTCCATATTGAAATGTTTCAAAACTTTTTCCATTGAGAAATCTTGAAGCTCACTGAAAGCTGCAAGTTCATTTTTGATTTTGAGAAAAAGCCAAATCAGAGTTGCATTAATGAAAATAAATTCCACACCCAAAACAAAGAGTATTAAATAGCAGCATATCTTGACCAGACTGGTGTTTCTCATGGTCAACTTCATTATTAATTCATTTAAGACAAGATCTGTCTATCTAAATTATAGTTCCCCAATATTCTGTAGAATATGATCTTTTTTGGATGAACAAGTGCTCTCTGTCTTGGTCTCTATGTACAGTATCTGAATCCGCAAGTGCTCACTGTCTTGGTATTTATGTACAGTATCTGAATCCGCAAGTGCTCACTGTCTTGGGATTTATGTACAGTATATGAATCACCAAGTGCTCACATTCTTTTTCTATATTTATGTACACTATCTGAATCAGCATGTACAGTATCTGCATCAGCAGGTGCTCATTGTCTTGATATTTAAGTACAGTATCTGAATCAGCAAGTGCTCACTATCTGCATTTATGAACAGTATGTGAATCAGCAGTTGACGGATATCTTGGTATTTAAAATGCACCATGTATAATTATCCTAATAAATACTGGACTGTTTTATCTCTGAAAAAAAGTTAAATATACCTATTTATATACTGTATGCAAATTTGTACTACTTTTGGGTTCAAAACGAAAAAAGACTTATATTATTTAATGAAGTCTATTCGAGATCTTGTGTCAAACTAATAATCTCAAATAAGCCATGTTATTCATGCTACTATGTTTTTATATCAGAGGTACTTACTTATTTTTTAAGCTTTATTGTCACCAAAGTCAGGAGTGGTGCACGTGGGGCTGTCAAAAGTAGCATAGCCATAGTGTGAGTATATGCTCTAGATCTCAATATGGAGACATGAATATTACAGGTGGTGTCCCCACCATGGAGAACATTTTGAAATGGGTAAAATGTTATAAACCATAAAGGTCCACTTATTTTGAAAACTCTCAGATTTGGTATTTTAGTTTTATGTGCAAAATATATAAACTAGTGGTTCAAATAATTAAATAGTCATTCAAATAATCAAACAGTGCAATGTTTATGTCTTCGCAATCTTGCTGCCTAGTTGCGCCAGACAAGATACATTGCCAGGCAACAAAACATTCACCTACAGCAGCTAAATCGTCCAAGCAGTTGACAAGGGTTATCGCATATTTATTCTTTTGTAGATAATGGGAATAAGGTTCTACAAAGTGAAATAAGGGCCATAACCATCAGTAATTAACAAAAATGGTTGAAAATAAGTAGGCTTCTTTGTCACACTAATTAAAATGTAAATAAAATGAATTGGGGTTTATTTAAAGTCCTACTGTTCTGCTCCGACAGGGCTAATGAAGACTGGCATTATGCCATACAGTGTACTATGACGGAAATTTTGCCCGGGCAGAAGCACCATGGCCTACTCTTATATAGAATTCCAACTGCCAAGGGATCTTTTACGTGCACGCAAAAGTGTACACGGGACCTCGGTTTTCCATCCCATCCGAATGACTAGACAGCTATCCATGTCGGACCCTTCGTCCTGCACAACTGACAAGGGGAAACTACTTCGGAAAATCCTGATGAACTTTCTCAGCCAATGCACAGATCGAAACACGTGACTAGCGAGGCAGTGGTTTACCCACTTTAGCCTCCATGGAAATTAAGTGAAAAAAAAAAAATCAATATATCATCTTGGCAAAACGAAATCTAATAAAATAATAATTTTACTTTTGCTTTGATTGAATGCTGCGTATTTGCACTGAATTGATGTACTATATGGATTAAAAATCAAAAGACTTTGTCTGGAGCCACTAGCTATACTTTGTGAGTCATATTTCGGGCATCGATTATTATTTGTGAATGCAGTTGCAACAGTTTGAATGGAATTCAGGGCAGCTTAGAGTGGTATTTCTGTTGCAACCTAGGACAACTTTGAAGTTGCTTATAATTAACTCACCGGTTAAATTTTAAAACTTTATCGGTGAGGGCATTTCAGTTCTCGTGCCCCGTACGCTTATAATGTTGGTTATCTTATAAATAAAATACATCATCACCATTTTTATGACAGTATGAATCATTCTCTTTATATAAGAATTACTGCACCATCTCCACCGATCGGATTACAAATATTATATTATAAGAACTTAACGCTCTAAGCAACTATGTAAATACTAATTCTCGGCCTTTTATTTTTAAATTCTTTTAACCATCATTATTTAATTATATTTAGCTACTGGGGAGCTAGGTTCGGACATTTGGGGATTAAGGGCACATTGAATTTCTGAATTGACCGGTTGACCATCGATTCTCTTAGATATAATGTTTCTTTCGTTTTCACTACTCACCTGTGACCAACCGGTTTACCTGTCTTTTTATTATAATTATACAGCTTCTGGCAGTTTTGATATTTATTCATGGCCCCGCAACGTGCATTTTAAACTCCAGTAATAGCTTACTTCCGGTGCTAAACCGCAAGTGGAAGTAAACATAAACGGTGCAAAGTTCAACAGATTTTGTTTTGGAACAGAATTTTGTCTTGTCATTTGAAGGTATACTTTTGATCGGTCCATTTTTGATTAAGATTATAACTCAAGGTAATTTTAAAATGTACATTACCGGTAGTTTATGCATTGAAGTAAAAATATATAGCTTGATTTGTCCTAGGAATACTACATAACATACGTCGAATCAATCCACGGTCCACTGGAATCTGACCTTCTATCAGTATATATGCATATGTCATATGCTTACCGTCACCGAACTAGATATATATTGTCTGGATGGGTGTGGTGTATGCATATATACGGATAGAAGGTCAGATTCCTGTGATCAACTTAACATTAACAATCATCCCAAACTTAGGCTGCCTCCTCTATACAGTTCGCTCCGCCTGAGAGTGAGAATGTATTCTTGAGGTATGAAGTAGAGGCATCGCTGTGTGCAGTATGTCTAACAATGTGATGTCAATACTGTGACCAATGATTCGTATTATATATACCAACACAATTACTAAATGCAATTGAAATAAGTTAAGGCCAGAATTAGTGCTGATAGGACCTACTTGGTTAGATCAGGTTTAGGATGAAAATCTCGACTACGCATACACACAAAATAATGATACAGTTGACAATCCCTGTACAACCCTGGTAAGCATGTTACCCACCCTGGTAATAAATTTACAAACCTTGCTAATAGAACGCCACCACCAATATGTGACCAGGGAAACTCTGTTGAGGTTTGGGAGTAGTATAAATAAAAGCCTACAACGTGAGTCCATTCAGTCTGAAGAGGTCTGTACGAATAAAACTATACAATAAAACCTGGGATAACTAGGTCTTAATAGGCACTCTTATCTCATATTTATTGGTATTCCATAAATAGTCAATGGATACCAGATATTTTTAAATCCCCGGGCAACACCAGTACAAAACTAGCTACGAGAATGTAGCTAAAAACGTTGAGATATACTGATGTGTTTGTTTTTAGCTACGATTGGATGCCTTTAGTTCCAAGTGGCAAACTCAATTTCTTTATTAATGCATGTAACATCTTTAAAATAAGATAAGTTTATGCTATTATGATTAATTAAACTTACAAAGGCCAATGTAGTGGCACAACTGTCGCCTAACTCCAAATATTTGCGTTTAAATTAATGAAGCGTTGTTTTGTCTGACATACACCGCCATCGAAATCCATTCATAGATACAGAGCTTTAGATTGCCCTATTGATTGGCTGTTATAAAAGCCTTATATTTAGCTCCGCCTTCATGATGACAGCGTATCGTAAAAAAAGATGGCGGTCTTAGTGACAGCTTAACGCCTCGATTTTAAAAACGACGATTTGTACCCGTTTCAGGTAGGATTATATGCTTAATTGTAGTTGGGTCTGGCAGAAATATTATAAATAACAATAATCAATCGTTTTTTTTATTAGAAATATTGTCAATTTTGTTTACAAATGCGGGGTGTGAATCGCTCCCGCATGTGCTACGTTGAAGGTAATGGCCTCATGTCTTATCTCGAAACGCGGAGGGTTGAGAGATTAAGGTTTGTTATCTATACAAAACAGACTTAGTTAGGTAGAGGTTAGAGCCAAGTTAGAGGTGGTTTAATCACCATCATAACGTTTTTGGTATCAATATCAAATGATAAATGACTTCTACCTAAGTCTGTTTTGTACTGCTGTTACCCGTGGGATATTTAAATATATATTTTTGCTCTGTCTGTTTGATCCAGCTGCTACACAGATCCAGCCTTTACTACTCTTTAAAGGGAGTGTTACTGTCTGTCTTCTTGTATCCAGTTTTCCTTAAATAATATTGTGTTATTTGATTATGTACATTTGTGTTATTTTTTGGCAGTGATATTGAGATGATATGATGTTAAGGGTTCTGAATCAGATGTCACAACATTCCAGAAATATTAGAACAACAATATCAACACGCCAATTGTCAGTTACACCACAACTCATGTCATCAAAAGATGATAAAATGGCTTCTAGAAAAACTAAAGCTGTAATATTTGATATGGGAGGTGTTGTTTTACCATCACCACTACAAGCATTTAAAGGTGAAGTTACCTGAACTGATGCATGACTTTACATTTGCACTTATGGTAATAGAGGGAGGAATGGGATATAACATCCACTTGACACAACTAGGTCATTTTGGGACTAACATATGGTTCAAATTAATTCAATAATTCACTTGCATGCAGGGGTTTTTAGCAGTGGGAGGAGACTAGAGGATACAAAGAAAATCCACGAGGTTAAACGAGGGAACTCCTTGTCACTTTCAAGCTGGGAATCGAAACAATGCTAATTGACTCAATGACAGACCTTATGATCTAAACCGCACATGTTAGACCATTTGCCCCCCTGCACTCATGGTTAGACTGTCTAGCTTAAAGTAGCTAAGTCTCTAACTCAATATCATCCAAAATCTTCGACATTGAAAACACAAATTATTTGTGGGTTTAAATCAACATAGATGTTGTGATCTTACAGGGAAAAGATGGGCTTCTGATATCCGTTTTTCATAGGGACTCGAAAAACGAGGCTAGGCATATTCCACAAGTCATGTCAAACGGTGACTTCATATTCTTATCTGGAGAGCATGTGCAATAAATATTATCGGCGTAGACTGGAATAACCACACGCTAGAAATTGCCTTTCGATTGAGACTTCTGGCATATTCCGGCAAAGATAACTGTTTAGAAATTACCGTAAAAACAGAAACGGTTGAATGTAAATCAGTTTAAATACATTCATATTACATTATTATATACGTTGCAACCCATTTGTGTCAATTTCTAAGTCCCAAATATTAGCGATTTAGCCCCTTTAAAAGTTAACTAATTTCCCACTTTTCTTTTCCTATTGGAAATGAAATGGAGTTTAAGTCCTGCTGTTCTGCACCAACTGGGTTAATGAAGAAGGACAAGGTACCCTGTTTTTTTGTTCCATCTGAATGGCTATACCTTGCCAAGCCCTCTGTCCTGCATCTCTGACAATGGGGAACCAGGCCGGAAAATCCAGATGAACTTTCTCGGACGACTTGGGGATCGACCACACCGCTTCTCCCAACTAATATCATGTCCCTTTAATTCTGATAATTGATAAGGAGTTGAATAAAATTAATTTGTTTTTCAGATTTTGAGAGAAAGAATAGTTTACCTGCGGGGTTTGTTGTAAGTTTAATTGTGAACGGAGGTGAAAAGAATGCTTGGTGTCAACTTGAAGAAGGTGTTTTAACATTGGATCAGTTTAGACAAGCTTTCAGCAAGGAATGTTCGCAACAGGTAATGGCGGGGTTGGGTGGCAGAATAGTTTAACGCTTGCACGTTGGAGCATAAGATTTGTCAAGGATTCAAGTGGTATGGCTAAGATTCCTTGCATGGTCGTGACAAGGAGTAATGTCGCCTGTCCAGCCTTGTGGGTTTTCCCGGTTCTCATGTTTGGGACGTGAATTAAGCCTCACATTCATACCCGGTGTTTTATTTATATCAGTTGCATCCTGTGTCACAAACCTTTTTTTTATACACCCACCTTTTACATACACCCAAGTTTCGGAGTTAACTCCCTTTCCCCAAAATTTGTAAATAGAAAAGATTTAATAATGGTCACACATCAGCTATGTCTCAAATCAAGATAGCCATAGTCACCAGTTGACCAGAAAAAAAGCTTGTGAACACGATAGATATTAGATTTCTTAAAGGCATAAGGGATCAATTTTAATGTATGTAAAATTTTAAAACATGTCATTTATTTATTTTAGGCTGGAAAAAAAATAGATGCATCCGATCTAACAAACAGCTTGACTAATATAATTGCTGTTCAACCATATCCTCAAATAACTGATGCTGTTAAATGTATCCGAGCAGAGGGTCTTAAGACAGCATTATTGACTAACAATTGGTTTACTAATAACAGTAAAACTGAGAGTCTAGTACCCGTGGATAGGTCTCTATTTGATGTGGTAAGATATGAATTATCTGGCTTTCTTTTATTAACTACATAATACAATGTTCGTTCTTTATTGGGAAATTGGTTGGTCGAATGGTCTAAGCATGTGCTTTAGATCATAAGGGTCTATCATTGAGTAAGATTACCTGCCCAACTGCATGGGATTTCTTTGGTTCCTCCTGTTTCCTCCCACTGCTACAGACCCCTTCGTGCAAGAGTAGTTATTGAAATAAAATTGTAGCATATTTTAATCCTGACATGACCTAGTTTATGGCAAGTGAATATTAAACCCCATCTCTCTCTCTCTCTCTCTCTCTCTCTCTCTCTCTTTCGAACTATTTCATAGCATTGCTTAAAGGCACCGATCCTCATCGTTTAGATCCACAATAGAATTTCCTAAAATTGGTTGTTTAACATTTAATTAAGAAAAACCAAATCAAAAATATCAACAGTAGATAATCTCTTGGCTTGGATTCAAGTGGATTAAATAGCAGCCCATCAAAACATTTTAACCATAACATTTATAAGTGGCTCTGGCTTGTTTATATCATCTTTAATGATTCTGAATGTTGCGAAATTTTCATGTTATTATATCTTTGTAAATACTGAATGGAATTGAAATAATTTTGGACAGATATTCTGATTTACTTTTCAAAATATTGTAATTTGCAATTGGTTGTGAGCAGTTTTAAGTTGTAATTGTTTTGGGTTGCTTAAATGTACATTATGCCAAACCGAAATCTGCCTTTTGCAGGTCTTTCTTTAGACCTGAAATGTTATGTAAACTATTAATTAGGCATTTATTAACAAAACAAGACCATAATCAACTCTCGATGGCATTGGATACTCAAGATTTTAGCGAGATTAGAATGGTTCGCCATTTAAGAATTTAATTTAAAAATGGGAAAGCGAGGCTAAGTTTTGAATACACCAGTGCCTAGGTTACCACTATGCACACATCTTGTCAAAACTACAAACAATGATAACTTGGCTCTATTTTTGAATTATAATAGCAACAATGACCAACTCTTTATTAAACTCTTAACTAATGTATCTTTAAATTGAATGTAAGTTGATTATTAAATACTTGTTGTTTTAGGTTGTTGAATCTTGTGTAGAAGGAGTACGGAAACCAAATCCTAGAATATTTGAAATATGTTTGGATCGTCTAAATATAAAACCAGAAGAGGCTGTGTTTTTAGATGATATTGGTCAGAATGTGAAAGCAGCTAAGCAACTTGGTATTAATACAATTAAGGTAGGATTCAACTTTCATAGATTCAAGATGATGATGTTTGATTCAAGACATAGCTGTATTAATATTTATTTAATTTAAGCCATTTGTTCCTTCGTTCCTGGAGTTTTACGACCACTTCCACCTTGGGTGATATCATAGACAAAACTCAAGCCATGATGATACTTAGCTTTATAATCAAAACATTTTACAGAGATAATCGCAACCATTCAAGAATCCATTATCCTTACCACTTGCTTATGTGGCCCTCTAAGCAATGGAATATCAGATTTTGCTCAGAGTTTGCATACAATCGAATTTGAATATGTTTAATCTAACTTTATAAATCAGATTATTTCTTAAGCCAAAATTATTTTTGAATTGATAGTGTACATGTATCTCTATGGATTAAGAATTGCAACTCTTCACCAAGTTGTATATTTTATTAGGTAACCGATCCAGATCAGGCAGTGAAAGATTTAGAATCAACACTGGGTTTATCTTTGAACCATTTTGTAGAAGGTACAGAAACAGTACCAAAACATCTCAATATTCCTGTGGATAATTTGGTTAATTTTATTCAGTCTAATCTGGGTCTCAGTTCTGCAGGTTAGTACCTCTCATTTAGTTTATCAAAAACAGTATTTTATACCGAATGCTTTAAAAGTCAAGTAAACAGCAAAACCTGATGTATAAGTTTAACAGATCTGCTCTGTAGACTAATTACCTCCCTTTGCTTTCTTGATTTGCTAACAGTGCATTTCTTGAAAAGTCATAACAACTTGTTGACACTGGTTGTAAAAATTACTCCTGATTGTGACAACCAAAAACTACCACACTTAACAAATAGTACATAGTGAAATATGTAAATTCCAGGTTTATCAGACTCTTGAGAAGTTTTACCTTCTATGGAGGTAGCTGTTAGACTGGTTCAGCGAGACTATATTATGTTAATTGTGTAGATAAGTTGTCGAGTACTGAACACAAACAAATGAACCATAAAAGATTTCAGTTTGTGCTTTAGGCATTTATTACCATTAATGAACTCATATTAGACAATAAGTTAATAATATAAAAATGATTCAGAATTATTCATTGGAGGAATGGTGGACTGGTACACGGAAAGGCATAAGAGATGTTTATGACAATATTATGTGTAATTTTTTATTCAAGAGCTAATTTGCAGGAACAAGTTAAGACATATAAGTATGAAAATAAATGTTTTACTATTTTTGTTAGATCCACCAATAATTCGTTGTTTTAAACATGGTCAGTCGAATCCTACATATTATATTAATTATGCTGGAACAGAAATGGTGCTCAGAAAAAAACCTGTAAGTAGTTCATATACTAATTAAATATCTTCTTTATTTCTTCATATACATTGTATAGTCAACTACCATAAAACATTGATTAATAACTGTACTGGAAAAATCTTCCAAAACCTGTGAAATCTTCCATACTCAGAACGTATGGGTGATTAAGGCACTTGGGCCTCTTGCTTTTATCCTTTTATCATTATATACCATAAAACAAATACAAATTTTGACCATGGCTTCGGTCAATGTTAACTGTTTCCCTCATCCTTATATCTTTCCCATTCAGACAGCAGTACTACACTGTAATTGGCGTTTTATTGGCAAACCAAAATATAGTGTCACTAATTAAAGTTGAGGTGTGAAAGATATAATATATTTGTTTATGAAGATTATTGTTGTTTATAGCCTGGTAAACTACTGCCATCAGCTCATGCTGTAGATAGAGAATATCAAGTTATGAAAGCTTTAGGTAGTCAAGGTGTACCAGTACCAGAGATGTTAGCTTTCTGTGGTGATGACAGGTTAGTACACTATTTCTTGAGTTGACTGGAGGATTGTTTTAATGGTATTTAGTAATTGAACTCGAAATACACAGGTCACAGTTCTATGGAATACAATTACTGCTTATTACTGAATACTGTTTCAACTAGGCTTGACTAGTCTTTATTAAACATACATTATGCAAGAGCTAAATCTGATTATTGCAAGTCTTAATTTAGGCTTCAGATGTTATAGAAATTATAAATTAGATCTTTATTTAAACAACAAGCCCAAAATCAACACTGTAGACCCACGGATGGCTCGGCTACAGCTTGGATTTAAATAGGATTTCACTGATTGATTAAATCAAAAATGGCGCCCCATGCAGAGATTATTAACCGTTACGTTGACGTCATCAGTTAGATCGAGGCTAAATGATAGAGTGTACGAAGCGAGGCCGCTGTTGTACGATGCCGCATGTCAGTCAATTTGATTGAAAGTTCGATATACGGCCTTGATATTTTGTTAAGTAGTGGTTAAAATGAGAGTTTGGATGTTGGTATTATACGCTCTTTTGTCACTTGCGTTTACAGAAAAATTATTGAAATTGATAAACATCGCAACTAACATCACCCCAGTTGAATTGCAGCCCCATTGGATCACTGTAGTGTTTCCTATTTGTCTGCTTCGGGAGTCACGTAGTCACGTTACAGTACAAGAGTACACGCAGGCTAACAAGAAGTCGGCTATAATTATGCCTCATTGATTTGGACCATTCCTTTCAAACTTTCGCTTCTTATCTATATAATAAAAGTCTTATTTTTGATTTGTAGTAAAATAAATGTGATACGAATTGAACTGCAACCCCGTCTCAAGTCATTGAAAACGTTACTTGATAATCGAGATTATGTAGGTGGAGTTAACGCCTGTCAATCAAACGATCGGCCAAGGTGAAGATATATTTGACTACCATTTCTAGTCAAATATTACAACGATGATAACTTTGTTCAGAATAAAGTAATTTGACTGAAATTTTCAATATATTTTTCTTTCATCGGCTACTTTTGATCTGCTATAGCAAGAATGGCCAACTCTCTATAAAAATCTCACATAATGTATGTTTAAGCAATGACCTGTGTATCAAGAGGATCTGCTCCTCTTACGTTAAGCATTTGTTCTTTGCTGTGTTACTTACTAGACTGATGTACAGCAGTTCTGGCTTTGTGATGTGAAATCTTGTAAACTACAATATTGTGATAATCAAATATCTAAAAGGACAATGAGTCCAAAAATAGTTCAATTACAAATAAATGATCAGTTGAAAATTTGTCAACTTTCAGGATAGCTTGTACATCATGTTAATGGGATATTGTCAAAACAAGCCAGCGCCAATGATGATCAGCAACTTTAAGAACATGTCAATCAATTCACATGCCAATCTAATTTGTACTTTTATAGTCTATTTTATGGATTTTGTTTGTTTTCAGCATACTAGCTACACCATTGTATTGTTGTTTTTTCAATGTAATAGCTACACCATTTTATAGTTTATCCATCTTCATTAGCCCAGTCATTTATATTTTTGTTTTTATTGGGTTTTTTTTTTTTCCAGTGTAATAGGTACACCATTTTATCTAATGAGATATATGTCTGGTAGAATCTTTAAAGATCATCTATTATCCTCTCTACCAATTAGTGAGAGAAGACCTATATATAGTAATATGATAGACATACTATGTAAAATACATTCAGCTAATATAGAGAAAGCTGGCCTCTCATCTTACGGTAAACAAGGTAAGCCATTTATACATTGATTATAAAACTACTGTCTTTTCCCAAACTATAATTTCTCCTTTTCCTATTTTGCCTAATGTAAAAAGTTGTTTATTTCATTTGCTCTAGAGTTATCGGAATATGAACTTTTCATATTGTAGCATTTAACGTTGATCTGTATTTGATTCATATGAAAAGTCATAGGCGTACGAGCTGGGGGGCCTGGGGGGGCTGCTGCCCCCCCATTTTGGGCACCAAATGCTGGGAAAATTTGGGCACACAATTGTACTTTGTAAAAGTTGTATAAAAAAAATATTGTGTTCTTGAATGTGTCCAATTTAACAGCGAATTTAAATTCAGAGTGTCTATAGTTAGGCAATTAAATAGAAATCTTAAGACTCCTACCCTCTATTGTTTGGAGTACAGTAAGCTATGAGTTACAGTTACATAAACAACTGTTGTGTATATTACAAGTAAATAAAATTTAGTTCTCTTTTATTGATGATTTAGAAATTAAGAACTTATTCATCGCAAAAGAGATATTATGATTATTATGTAACATACTAAGCACCTAAATACATTTTTGGGGTACCAACCACCACCGCCCCCCCCCCAGTCAAAAATTTCCCCGTACGCCTATGTGAACAGTGTTGCGCAGAGATTGTTAAGGGACATTACTCTGCTGCAATGTGGCATTGTTTACACACATTGTCACTGTGTCCCTCGACCCTCTCCTTGTATAATATGTTCATGTACTTTCTGGACTTGATTTTATTTGCTGGACCCTGTCTTTGTTTGATGTTGTGTTATTTCTAAATAATGTGAATCAACACAATGTGAAGTTGTTGTTTATTATGTTATTTCAACCCTTGTGTATAGCAATATTACACATGTTTCTACTGACATCTAGGTAAATATGTAGAAAGAAATTTCAAGAGATGGGCGAAGCAGTATGAAGCTAGTAAAACACATGATATACCCTCCATGAATAAGCTGATTGAATGGATTCCTAAAAACCTTCCACAAGATGAAAGAGTGACAGTAGTTCATGGAGATTTCAGGTTGGTAATATTTGAACAGAATATTTTAATAAACTTCAAAAAAATCGTTCTCTAAAACTAATAAAGATAAAGTACTGAAATTTGGAGGATTATTCTTGAAGGTGTAAACTATACATGGTGGCTTTTCCATAGCTCCGTAACAATTTGTTTTTGTATGTCTATGAAGTATGGCGACAAAAAACGAAAATTGATGAACTCCCAGTCAAGTTCTGTAAAACGTAAAATAATCATTGTTCATTAAAAAAAAACCCACATAGCTGCATAGATCATTGACTTAGGAATATGTAAAAACTAAATTTACACTCATAGATTGATAACCTGCCACAAGCAATTTTTTTTAGTCTGTGTAGGGGTTGAGTATTTTACAACATGTAATATTATTAGGTTGTACTCATTTTAGAGACTTGAAATTTGGCATGTAGGTTAGTCTGTACAGATTTCCTTTAGTTATATTTACTCAATCAAAAGTTATAATCAAAAGTATGTTTTCGACTAGCACGTCCCCTTAAAGGAACATACAATAAAACATGACACATGTATATGGAATACAAGTTATCCAGAATTTTAGTTTTGGCCAGTGGTATATAGAGTTATGGTGATTCCCTGGGGCCAACTCCTTTAATTTATGTCCCCAAGACTGGAGTATAGGGCCTAGTACTGAGAAATTTGAGAAAAAACATTTTTAAATATGTAGAAGCAGATGAAATAAACTTTTTTTTTCTATTTAAATAGGGCATCTTAACAACAGAATTAACAGCGATAATTTCAAAGTTAAAAAAAATTTATTCAAGCATTGAGATGGCCATAATAGATGTTATTTTGTTTGATGTGAATTATCAATTTTTTTTGTTTGATTTTAGATAATCAAAGGTTAATTTATTCTTTAAAACCATTTTATTACAGATTGGATAATCTCATTTTTAAACAGTACAATAATGATATTATAGCTGTCTTAGATTGGGAGTTATCTACCCTGGGTGATCCGCTAACAGATCTGTGTACATGTTGTTTGGCATACTATATGCCACCTGGTTTCCCATTGATACAAGGTAATATGAGTGGATGGTAAAAAATAATCAAACTTAATTTTAAATTATTTTAATAATTTAAAATTAAGTTTGATGCAATTTTATTACAGATTGGATAATCTTATATTTAAACAGTACAATAACGATATTATAGCTGTTTTAGATTGGGAGTTATCTACCCTGGGTGATCCGCTAACAGATCTCCCTACATGTTGTTCGACATACTATATGCCACCTGGGTTACATAGACAAGGTAATATTGGAGGTTGGTATCACTATTGAACTGATACTGTTTAAATATGAACCTAGACCTTTTATAAATTATACAGAAGTCAGGTGTGTAATTAGATGTAAAAGATGTCACTACTAGTGTAAAAGCGTGACTAATTCTAATACCCATGCGCATGACTATACGCTGTCTTTTCATTTAATCTGATATGTGCGTTTGTTTGGGATTTCTGTGTATTTCTTGCTAGCCACCGGATCCATTCACTTAATCTGATATGTGCATGTGTTTGTGATTTCTCTGTAAATTTGTTTTGTGTAATTTTTGTCCCCCGCCTTTCGAAGAAAGCAGGGGACTATTAAAATGGGTTCGTCCGTCTGTCTGTCTGTCCGTCTGTCTGTCCGTCTGTCTGTCCGTCACACTTTTTGGGACACAATAACTCTCTTCCTAATTGAGCTAGAATGTTCAAACTTGGTGTATGTGTTTATTAGGTCAATGCCTTGATGGAGTTCGAAGATGAGCATTTTCCGCTTAGGGTAAGCAGAGATAAGCAATTTGATTGGTTGATGCTTTGGGACACAATAACTCTCTTCCTAATTGGGCTAGAATGTTCAAACTTGGTGTATGTGTTGATTAGGTCAATGCCTTGATGGAGTTCGAAGATGAGCATTTTCCGCTTAGGGTAAGCAGAGATAAGCAATTTGATTGGTTGATGCTTTGGGACACGATAACTTTTAATTGAGCTAGAATGTTCAAACTTGGTGTATGTGTTTATTAGGTCAATGCCTTGATGGAGTTCGAAGATGAGCATTTTCCGCTTAGGGTAAGCAGAGATAAGCAATTTGATTGGTTGATACTTTGGGGCACGATAACTCTCTTCCTAATTGAGCTAGAATGTTCAAACTTGGTGTATGTGTTGATTAGGTCAATGCCTTGATGGAGTTCGAACATGAGCATTTTCCGCTTAGGGTAAGCAGAGATAAGCAATTTGATTGGTTGATGCTTTGGGACACGATAACTTTAGTTCTAATTAAGTGAGATTGATGAAACTTGGTGTATAGTTTCATTACAGTAATACCTTGACTAAGTTTGATAATGAGCATTTTCTGCTCAGGGTAAGCAGAGCGATACGCAATTTGATTGGTCGAGACTTATTTCCTATTTCGGCGGAAGACATCAGCCTCACTGTTGGCTTGTTTGTGTGTGGTGCAGTCTCCCTGCACATACTATTGAATACACAAGTCTTACCAATAGTGGTGTATATCATTCAATAGTCGCTTTTAGTAACATAACACCTTTCTTAACACATAACACCTTTATACTGACTGCTGCCTAAGTACTGACACTTTTAACTGACTAGTAAGCATTATGTACATAAAATGATGACTTCGATCTATTAAAGGAGAAGATGATAGCGTCTGTGGACCAGTAGGTTCAAGGTTAGGAAGAGGCTCGCAAAGTATGTGGATTAGTGACAATTTTTTTAGGGTGAGGAAGGAGATCATAAAGTCTGTAGACCAGTAAAAAATTTTTGAGTTAGGAAGAGGATCATAAGTCTGTGGACCAGTGATGGTGCTTTAGAGTTAGGAAGGGGATCATAAAGTCTGTGGACCAGAGATCATGTTTTAGGTTCAGGAAGATGGTCATAAAGTGTGTGGACCATTGATGATGTTTTATGTTCAGGAAGAGGATCATAAAGTCTGTGGACCAGACATTATGTTTTAGGTTCAGGAAGAGGGTCATAAGGTCATGTTTTAGGTTCAGGAAAAAAATCTGTGGACCACTAATGTTCTAAGGTCAGCGATAGGATCATAGAGTCTGTGGACCAGTAATGATGTGTTAGGTTTACGAAGTTTATCAATCCAGGGATTTTGTTTTTCGTCTGTATATCTTGGACATGTCCTATGTCCTACACAGATTGACAAACCTATGACTGTGAATATACCCATAAAGATATTATGAATTGAACTGAAAATTCCCCCAAAATTCCAAAAATATTAACTGTACTGAGGGTTTAATATTACTAATCTTGATTATCATTGATTATTGCTAAGATTAATTAAACAGGGGGTATGTAAGATCTAAATCTGCCTATTACAGGTTTTTCTTTGGGCTTTTAATGTTATGTAAATTATAAATTAGACATCATGACAAGATCATAATCAACTCTCGATGCCACCGGATCGCTCCGATTTTAAGTAGATTAGAATGGTTTGGCCATTTAATGATTTAATTTGAAAATGGAGAAGTGAGGCTGTGACTCGAATGACCAGTAAAGTGATTACGATCAATGCACACATCTTGTCGAAACTACAACCATTGATAACTTCGCTTAAGATAAAGTAATTTGAATGAAACTTTCAATATATTCATTTTGCATTATCTATTTTTGAAATATTATATCGACAACGACCAGCTCCTTATCTAAATCGTAAATAATACTTTTAATACTTAAATTTATAGTTTTTTTATAAAATCTTACATAATGCCCCTTTAATTGGGGGCGTGGGGGTGGATGGCCGAATGGTTAGCACGTGTGCGCTGTATCATAAGGCATAAGGTCTGTCATTGAGTCAACTGGCGTGGTTTCGAATCCCCGGTTGTATGTGACAAGGAATAGGGTTGCTTGTCCAGCCTCGTGGGTTTTCTCCAGGTCCTCTGGTTTCCTGCCACTGCTAAAGACCCCTACGCGCAAGCAAATTATTGAAATAAAATTAAACCATATGTTAGTCCCAAAATGACCTAATCTGTGTCGAGTGGACTTTAAAACCCCATTTTTCTCTCTCTCTCTCTCTCTCTCTCTCTCTTTAATTAGTTAAGTGATCAGGCGAATTATAGAGTTGTACCTCTACTTTGATTGACTACTTAATTGAATATTGGCGTTGACTTTTGAATGTTATTTCAAGAAACAGAGGAATGATATTTTGTTGTCTTGCAGGTTTTAGTGAAACTAATTTAAAAGAACATGGAATGCCTTCAGTAGAGGACATACTACATCAGTATTGTCAGACAATGAAAATACCACCAATTCAAAATTGGGATTTCTACCTTGCTTTCACATTCTTCCGATTTGCTGCCATCTTACAGGGTGTTTATAAAAGAGCTGTGTCAGGTGAGATGGTCTTTTATTTTATTACACCCATATGATTTTGATTGGGCACCACTCTCCCCCACCCCATCTCTTTCAACTGATAAATCATTACTGTACCCCTTTATACCCCTCATGACACACTGCATGAAGCATATCTATTTTCATTAGCTCTTTGTTGCAGAAAATTCCATCATACTAATAGCACGCTGAATGAAGCATACCTATATTCATTAGCCATGTTGGTGCAAAAAATAAGGATGAAGCCCACTTGTGCTCTTGCTATATGTAGTAAGATAACCTTTGATCAAGTACATGTTCATGACCTACTTTCTAAATGATATCTATTTTGCAATGTCACTAGTATAATGTAAGGTATATTATCTGTAGTCCTGTAATACAGGTAGATAATAAACAGGTAGATAATGATATACAGGTAAGACCTATTATATCAGAAATTAATGGAAAAAACCCCGGAAAGTGTTGACAGATGTGAAAGTACCCTTAGACAGACCCAACTGTGTGTATATTATACTGGTATAAACAATGTTCTTATTTTTATAATTTGGTATAGAAAATGATCTTACTTCAGTAAAAAGAATATATTGTCTTTGATAAGATGACATGACATGAACTAGTTATCTATATAAGATAATCCATGACAATATTTTCTTTCTGAGAACACAAATCGGTATGTATTTGATCCTTTGGCACTTGGTACGTTTTCACATCTATTCACATGGCACAGGCAATAGAGAAAGCAATATTTTTAGGCACCCAAGTGCATAGGCGTACGGGGAAATTTTTGACTGGGGGGGCGGTGGTGGTTGGTGCCCAAAAAATGTAGTTAGGCTCTTACTATGTTACATAATTATCATAATAATAATAATAATTCTATTTTCTTATAAAACTACAAATATACATATTATTTACAGAAAAATGATCTAATAACGATGAAATAATGTTTTAAAATTTAAAACAAACAAATAGCAAATAAAAGAACAAACAAACATATATACAAGTTATAGAGGATTCGAGTCTTAAGACTTCTATTTAATTGCCTAACTATAGACACTCTGTCTCGCTGTTAAATTGGACACATTCAAGAACACAATATTTTTTTATACAACTTTTACAAAGTACAATTGTGTGCCCAAATTTTCCCAGCATTTGGTGCCCAAAATGGGGGGGCAGCCGCCCCCCCCCCAGGTCCCCCCGGCTCGTACGCCTATGCCCAAGTGCTAATGGCCAATGAAATAATTTCTTTTTATCTTTTTTAATATACAGTTTTCCTGCAATATTGTTATCCTTACCTTCTTTATTTAGAAAATAGTCATGCTTTATTTTAGTTTTTAAAAATTATAATTCCAGGCCAATCAAGTTCAGCTGAATCAAAATTTCTTGGCAGCTTTGCTGAGAAATTAGCTGATGTAGGCTGGAATCTGGCTTTACAGAGTACATCAGCATCTAGAACAAGTGGAATAACAGGGGGAACAACTCAATCTCGTAATTATTCGACATCATCACGATCTGTCATGTCATATATTAGTAGACCGATGTCATCGTCTTCACATTCAAATCATGCTGGTAAGTGTAGATGGGTATTTGTTTTATCTCTAATCATGCAAATAAGTGTAGATGGGTATTTGTTTTGTCTCTTATCATGCTAGTAAGTGTAAATCTGTATTTGTTTTGTCTCTAAACATGTTGGTAAGTGTAGATGGGTATTTCATTTGTCTCTAATCATGCTGGTAAGTGTTGATCAGTATTTGTTTTGTCTCTAATCATGCTAGTAAGTGTAGATGGGTATTTGTTTTGTCTCTAATCATGCTGGTAAGTGTTGATCAGTATTTGTTTTGTCTCTAATCATGTGGTGAGTGTAAATAGGTATTTGTTTTGTCTTTGATCATTTGAATTGTGTAAATAAGTATTTGTTGTGTCTCTAATAAAAACAAAATGTGTAGCATATTTTTCAGTATTTATGCTTGCAGAAAATAGATGATTCATGCATCTTTATGTAAGGTTTAAACCAGAACTCTGAGATTGTGATGGAAAGGGAGCCATGGTGACTTGGTGAGATCTAACCATGAGATACCAGGTTTGATCACAGATGTTCCCGTCTGGTTTTCCCTGTGTCAATTGCCTAGTCATTCTGATGGGATGAATAATGTGGTCTAAAAACTGCCATCTTAAATAACGATAAGAGTTATGTCCCTTAATTTTCGGTAAAAATGTCCGACAAGAAAAATTTTGAAATCCCATCACTGGTGTACGCCATGACATAATTGAAATAAGAATAGGTTGTAGCGCTGCTGTCTAGTCAAAATGTCCTTCATAGCACACTGCATGATGACTGCCTTCATTTATTGTTGAATCTAAAGAATTTTATTGTGTATTATTGTTGTTCTTTAAGTAAAATATTGAGATATGCATGGAGGTTTTTATCGGAAGATATTTGTGATTTTAGCTCAGATGCCAATTAGTGTTGCTGGTTTATCACCCAGAGTACAAGATCTGCATCAACGTGTTAAAACATTTATAGATGAAAAAGTCATCCCACTAGAAGCAGATTTCCTGAAACATCAACTCTCTAAAGATAAATGGAGTGTCTGGCCTCCAATGGAAAACTTAAAGGTAAACAGAGTTACAACAATGTTCATGATTTGATTTTAAGAATCATAAGAACTGTTATGCACAGGTGTGAAATGAAATGGCTAATGAAAACGGGATGCACAGGTGTAAACTTGGTAAAGATTTAAGGCAATTGCGACATCAATGTGTATCCAGTTATTCAAAAAAATATTAACAAGTTACTAAGTTATAGCCATAATCTCTTTGTGAGAGATATAAGAACAAGTGACTTATCCTGGATTCCTGCTAAACTGCACTTGAATTAGTTGTAGGCGGTTTTGAAGAGTTTGGATTTGAAACTGTTAGTGTCTTCAGTTTGTTTTATCACCATAAATAGTACACAAATCACCATAGGTTGTTCTATAATCCAAAAAGTTTACATTGTTAGAAACGAAATTAAATAAAATGGGGTTTAACATCCTACTGTTCTGCTCCGACGGGACTAATGAAAATGGGCATATGCCATACAGTTTGCTACGGTCTACTCTTATATTGAATTCCACCTAGACAGCTGTCCGCTAGTGAGTCTGCGTCTTACTCACTTAGTCACTGTGGCTCCCAGAACTCAAAATTATTTTGGTTTTTCTTCAGTATTGATGAATGCTAAGATGGAGCTATTCATTTAAGATCATTAATTATTTGAGTTTGTTAAATCAAAATCTTTTTTTTTTCATATTCAAGGCTGAAGCTAAATCTGCTGGTTTATGGAATTTATTTCTACCTGTAGAATCTGATCGTGATGTAAAATATGGTGCTGGATTAAGTAATATAGAATATGCTTTCTTATGTGAACAAATGGGTAGGAGTGCAATAGCACCAGAGGTAAATATAACATACTTTTTGTATACCAATACCAGGATAAATGTACAATGGTTTAGCTGCCTGGCTTTAACCATTTAGCACCTTTTTAATCAGTTGTCTGCTTTATATTTTATAGCAATTTATAATATTCTGATATAATATTCTGGCATTTCAGCTCTTGTGCTCTATCTTGGTAATCTTTATTTTTTAAATTATCTTTCTCGTGAGTGTTTCTCACTATTCAATTTGTTAATATCATCAGAAATTTACAAGGTATTACTTTGGAATATTTTTTTGGGGGGAATGTATTTTTCATCAAACTATTTTTAATACTAATTTTTCACTTACCTGGTACATGTTGGTTGGTGTTTAACGGGAGTAGACCAGTAATTGCTATTCCATATAAAGTCTATTACTAAATGTCACAATAAGAAGTATTATATTTCGTTTGTAGGTGTTTAACTGTATTGCACCTAATATGGAGGTAATATGGAGGTATATATTGTATGTTGAATATTTAATCTAAGATATATTTTTTGTAGGTGTTTAACTGTAGTGCACCTTATACAGGTAATATGGAGGTATATATTGTATGTTGAATATTAAATATTAATTCTAAGATATATTGTTTGTAGGCATTTAACTGTAGTGCACCAGATACAGGTAATATGGAGGTATTAGTTAAATATGGTAATGAAGAACAGAAGAAAGCCTGGTTACAACCATTATTAGATGGTAAAATACGGTCGTGTTTTGGTATGACAGAACCAGCGGTAAGATTCTTATGTAACAATCATTAGTATGATTTCTGCAGAGGGAAAGAATGGTAAACATCTCTCTGGCTCTGGGAGTCAAGATTGGGTGTATGTCTGTCTTGATTATCCCTGTTGGTGCGTAAGAGTTAGACGTTAAACCCCATTTCATAACTACAAAACATATAGTAAAGCTAAGACCTTCAGAGAAATTAAAAATAAATATTGTTTCAAGAATGAAAGAAAGTGTTTTGTATTTGTCCAGACTACATATACATTCAAAGAAACTAAACATACCATATTTGACAGAAGAATAGAATGTACTGTATTGATGCTACTTTTCTTGATTTGGTTCTGATATTTTAACAGAATAATAAAAAACATATTTCCTTGTTGTCTTTTAAACACTGTTATATTTATTTAGGTAGCATCATCAGATGCAACTAATATAGAAGCATCTATTAGGAGAGAAGGGGACTATTATATTATAAACGGCCACAAATGGTGGACCTCAGGTTAGTTCAACAATATATTACAACTAATAATAACCTCAGTATTGTAATAAATTGTATTATAATACCCTGTAGTTTGGGGCTTCATTATTCTGTATATAAGTTCTGTTTCCGAAGCATATCTCAACCTCTCAAGATAACCATTCAAGACTTTGTTTTGTACACATATCAGGCTATTTTAAAGGCTGTGACATTTGCCGGCAGTTTTAATCATTTTGGTATATAATTATGGTTCAGGAGCATATTTTAGAAACCTTTCACGATACCTTGATAAAACTTTGTATACGCATATTCCTATTACATGCATGTCTTTGCCGTCTTCATTTAGCCCAGTCGGAGCAGAACAGTAGGATGTTAAACCCAATTTCATTTCATTTTATTTACTAATAAGACACTTCTTGATTGGATAATTTTAATGTTTCCATGAAAACAAATTTATCTTGGTCTTAATTAATACAATTATTATTCCATAGCATATTTTAGAAGCCATCCAAGGTATCTTTATGTTACTTTGTACCCAACTCAGTCCGTTACAGTAGATGGTGGCTCAGTCCCAGTGATGAAGGATGGAGGATCTGACAAGGATAGCTTGTTAACCCAAACCTAGATCCCATGTACACATTGGGTTACACTTGAAAGATCCCAGGCAGTTGGAATTTGATATGAATAGGCCGTAGCGCTACCATCCGTGCAAAATCTCCCTCGTAGCACACTGTATGGAGTATGCATAGTAGAGTCTTTGCAGTTAAACCATTTAATACAACTGGTTTTCTAGTTAACCGTAAGAGAAGTTACAAATAGTAGATGTTATATTTTGTAGGTGCATCAGATTCACGATGTAAAATGTGTATATTTATGGGTAAATCTGATCGTTCTGTATCTAAACATCAACAACAGAGTATGATCATCGTTCCTATGGATGCACCCGGTGTTACAATTGTACGTCCACTATTGGTCTTCGGATTTGACGATGCACCACGTAAGATTTTATCAAATTGAAATCACATATTGACTTTATTCTTGGAACATTATCAATGAAACACTCATAATATAAATTTAAGAATCCACACTCAATTGCAGCACAACAGACTTGGATTAGAGTATTTTTATTATTGCTCTCCTGTCCCACTGATAACTTTTACCCTCTAGCTTGTTTACATCGCCTCAGAATATTGGAAAATTTTCAATACCTCATATCTTTGTAAGTGCTGGATACAGAATTGAACCAATTTTGGACTAATATTCTTTTAAATATTCAACTTTCACAATATTGTATTGCGCAATGGAGTCAAATGAAGATCTTCAGCTTAAAAGTATCCAGTCTAATATGTCTTTTAGAGATTCAACTTTCACTGTATTGTGTTGTGCAATGGATTCAAAACCCCTCAAATGACGATTTCAGCAAAAGCATCCAGTCATCAAAATTAATTATTAAATTGTTGTGGTTGTATATTTTGTATAATATATTGATAATTTACAGATGGACATGCAGAAGTTACGTTTGAAAATGTTCGGGTACCAGTTGGTAATCTGTTATTAGGTGAAGGTCGTGGATTTGAAATTGCTCAAGGTCGTTTGGGACCAGGACGAATCCATCATTGTATGAGACTAATTGGTATGGCTGAAAGATCTCTCCAGTTAATGGTGGAACGAGTATGTTATCTTTTAAGTATTTTTACACTGATATTTGCAAGGTTGTGGGGACTGGGATATGTATCGTTGTCACCCTGTCCACCTGTAAGCCTTTTCACTCTTTACTAACACATTAGAGAACACTGATGTCATGGAATCTTTTTGGAATTTTAATAAGCGGTTCAGCTCATTGAAAGGAAAATGCCTATTAATTTTGAAAGTAACTCACAGTTACTGCCCTTCATCTGTGAAACCCTGGGGGTAGTCGATTGAATGTTCCGGAATTGAATTCTCTCAATCCCAAAAATAGTGACAATCGAGTGAAAAGGGGTATTTTGGGCTACAACCAGGCAGCCGGAATATATTCGTTATGATTAATTACGTCACGATTTTACTCACACCACCTCCGTTGTTGGGACTGACAGAACTGTGACAGGACTGAATTCCGCGTCACTCAATTGCAATTCTGTCAATTCGGGACGTTCTGGACTGACAGTTGAGCATCCCCAATGTTAATGCTTCACAGGTCTGGGGGTTGGATGGCTGAATGGTAAGCATGTGCACACTGTATCATAAAGTCTGTCATTGAGTCAACTGGTGTGGTTTCGATTCCCCGGTTGTACGTGACAAGGAGTAGGGTCGCCTGTCCATCCTCGTGGGTTTTCTCCTTGTCCTCCGGTTTCCTCCCACTGCTAAAGACTCCTAGGCGCAAGCAAATTATGGAAATAATGTTAGTCCCAAAATGACCTAGTTAAACCCCATTTCTCTTTCTCTCTCACTTCACATGTCACAATTGTCATTGGTGATCATTTGCTGGTTCAAAGAAAATCCCAATTGATGTCACTACATCACTGTATCATTATTAGATTGTCCAGCCAGATACACTGGGAATTACTCCCCTTGATTTACAGAATTTTCATATTCATTTTTATCTGATCCAATGACAAAGCTTTTTTTTCAAGGTTAAGATTCAAAATTTTGTATAATTATGTTAAATTACATGTTTTTGTGTATGTTAAATTATTAATATATCATATACTTTGTAGACAAAATCAAGAATTGCCTTTGGTAAACCATTAGCAACTCAAGGAACAATACAAGCTGATGTAGCTAAATGTAGACTAGAAATAGAACAGGCTAGACTTCTGGTACTAAAAGCTGCTCATATGATGGACATATATGGTAACAAGGTATTAACAATATTCAAATTATTCCTGTAAATCAAATTTATGTATAGGACTTAGCCAGTGGTTCCAAGCATTAATTTTGTTTGGCCAGGCATCCCTGGCAGTCTGAAATAAGCTTGCATGGGGCCCTGGTTGAAAATATTCTGATCATTCTCTGAAACCCACACAAATGAATCTTATATCACAGTTACCCCTTCCCCCTTTAATATCTGACCCTGCTCCCATAAAGTATATGCTAGGACTGTACAGCTAGTACTAAGGACGAACATTATTAAAGTTCAGATCTACAAAGCATTTTATCGCTAAGTTAATGCCTATGATTTTGAAAACTTGAAATCTACTCATTAAAAAGCAGCCAATTTTTTGCAAGGGATGTTCCCCGTGTCATTGTTCTACTGTTTTAGAGTTCTTGAAATATACTCTTCAAAAAAGTAGGGGATATTGAAATGCAAATACCTATGCAGGTTGTGATATAAATAGTCATGGACACTTGACATGCTTTGAGAGTATGTTCACAGATGAAGAACTTATTGCCCCAACAGACCCACTGAGCTGCACATGCGACACGCAATTGCACCATACACTTGGGAGGGGTTCATTGTCAAATTTGACACTTCAAGGAAGGGTTGATGAAAACTGCCGTGTGCTGGTTTATCTATCCATGTTTGCTTTCCAATCGGTTCTTGCATAAGATTTACTGTTTAGCGGATCTTTGCTTTAGTGTGTTACGTTTAATTTGATCGGGAGACGTGTTCGTCGACGTCAACATCAACCGACAACACTGCAAGAATTGGCCGCGGCACTGCAAGAGGAGTGGGTCAGGTTGCCCCAAATCGTTATTGGACGGTTGATTAGGAGCATGCCACGACAAATTGCTGAATGTCTGAGGATTGGTGGAGCAATTACTCATTATTAAGACAAAAATCAAAAACGTCCATTTTCACTTTTGACGGTGTATCTCTTTGCGAGTGAAATGGGGCCGTCAGATAAGCCGCCCATATGAAATGTTTATGTTCATGTGTAGGCAATTGGCCTGTTATTAACATACACTGGTTACCTCTAATAAAAACAGCAGTGCATTTCCGCAGTTTTGTATTGTTTCTGAATATCCCCTACTTTTTTTGAAGAGTATATTTTCCCAAAACTTTATGAAATTGTTTGGCTAGTCTCGAGGAGGAATGCTATTGAAATTCAGATAGCCCTCGATTTTGAAAACTTGAAACTAACGTTTAAAAAGCTGCTGATGGGATTTGTTGCCTAGCAAAATGCCATCCATGTTGACTGTAAAGGTTTGTTTACTACAGTTTCATGAACTATTTTATATATTGATATACCATTGTATTGTAGGTAGCTGCCCCTGAAATAGCTATGATAAAAGTTGCTGTACCTAATATGGCACAAACTGTTGTAGATAGAGCGATTCAGGTTTGTATACTTTACCTTGTATTCCTGGAACAAATCCAATAATTTTGGTCTATCAGCATAGACGTGTAAACTGAGACTTCTGTTGGTGTCATTGTTAGAAACGATGTTTCATTGATACTTTACCTGGGTCATTTGGAGACTAACATTAAATAAAAAAAATTTCTATGGTTACATGTGAAAGTGGTAATGACCTTTTAAATTATTAATTAGACATTAATTAACAAAACATGACCATAATCATCTGATACTCGAGATTTTAACTAGACTAGATCGGTTCGCCATTTAAAAATTTAATTTAGAAATGGGGAAAGCGAGGCTAAGTCTCGAATATACCAGTGCTCTGGTCACCACACTGCACACATCTTGTCAAAACTACAAACAGTGATAACTTGAGTCAGAATAAAGTAATTTAAATGAAATTTCCGATTTTGTCAGTTTGCATTATCTATTTTCGAACTATTATAGTAAGAATGGTCAGATCTTTATCTAAATCTTAACTAATGTATTTTTAAACGGATTGAATCCAAGCTGGGAAATTTTCTACCATTGCTATTTTGATTTTGTTTTCTTAATTAAATATGAAATAATCATTTTGAGTATGTTTTATCATGGATATTGAGCCATGAATAATTAGATATTGTCTGGAAATTAGATATATTTGAAAGAATGCAGATGACGATCATCGGGTTATAAATTAATAACAGTTGTCTCAGAATGTTTTTCTTTATTTAATTTTCAGAGCTACGGAGGAGCAGGTGTATCCTCTGATTTCCCATTAGCAGGTTTCTTCATGTGGGCTCGCGTTTTACGAATTGCAGATGGACCAGATGAAGTTCATCTTCGATCAGTAGCCAGAATGGAATATGCAAAATCAGTTAATTCAAAATTGTAGTAAATCGTTAATTTGTATATCTTTGTTTCAACAAATAATGGCTCAAAAAGAGACTTATAGATGGTTTCCACTATCATAAGATATTAACATGATTTACCTGGTTTCCACTATCAGAAGATATTAACATGATTTACCTGGTTTCCACTATCAGAACATATTAACATGATTTACCTGGTTTCCACTATCAGAACATATTAACATGATTTACCTGGTTTCCACTATCAGAACATATTAACATGATTTACATGGTTTCCACTATCAGAACATATTAACATGATTTACCTGGTTTCCACTATCAGAACATATTAACATGATTTACCTTAATTACTGTATTGACGCCATCTGTTTGACTATTATTTTGTAAGATGTGTGTACTCTCGTGTGAAAGAAATTCTCTTCAACAAGGAATTACGCATAGTTAATATAATTTGCTCTATTCAATCCAGTTTTCATAAGGGTATAGCTTGGGAAAACCTCCCAGTTCTTGTATTATACTATATAATTAACTAAGGGCCAGTTCTGTATGGCAGTAAAGGCCATGTTTAATGGCAGTAACCAAGGGCAAGTAAAATTTATTGACGTAACTAGGGGCCCAGTTATGCTTATGGCTGTAACTAGGGTCCAGTTATGGTTATGGTTGTAACTAAGGGCAAATATAATATATGGCTGTAACTAGGGGCCTGTTATGTTTATGGTAGTAACTAAGGTCAGTTAAACTTATTGCATTTACAAAGGGCAAAAATGTAAAACTTAAAAAGAGAAGGAACTATGGACATACGCTATATTCAAAGGCAAACTATTTGTTAAAGTGTATTGTTTATTTTTTTTGTAAATCAATTTATAGAATATAACATATATTTATATAACAATCATTGTAGATAAAATCAACAAATAAAGTGATAAACATATTTATAATAAGCAACTAATATAAAATCTTTAATGACTCAATAATCTTTTACCCCTAATAAACTGAATGGAACTGAAATGGGATTTCACATCTTTCATGGACTTTTCTGTTCCATCACGTGTTCCAACTGTCATGCCTCGGTTTTTCAAATGACTAGCCAATGTTCCTAGCCAGGCCCTTAGTTCTGCACCATTGACAACTTGACCAATACCGGGATTGAACCCGGGACCTCTAGGTTAGCAAGCCGGTGCCTTAATCACTGACACTGTATGGCGTATGCCCGTCTTTATTAGCCCAGGTTAGGAGCAGAAAAGTAGGACGTTAAACTCCATTTCATTTCATTTCCTTAATCATTGACCATTTACACCTAAAAGATATTGAGTTAATACATAGTAGGATTTTTCCTGTTCGTTCATGGGGCTTAACGTTCACATCCATCAAGGGTGATACCACAGATAATGGACTTTTCCCTTCTGTTGTTTTAAGATCAGATAAATGATTTAGATTCAACACTTCAGTTTAAAATGATTGTGAATGTGCGTTATCAAATACCAGTATATTCGTTATATATATACATGGATGTGCAATATCAAGTATCAGACTACTGGTATATATATTCATATAATAATCTGTTGATAGGAACAAATAAAAAAAAACTCTTTTAAATATCAAATAAATTTGGAAAAAAAAATCATTGAAATCAGCACCTTTCTTATTAAATATAGTTATTATTCTTAATCGATCTTAAATCACTTGTTTAACAATATATACTGATTGTTTAATTATAAAAACACGGTGAGGATATTAAATTACTGAGGTTGATCTAATCTGTAAACTGCATCAGGTATCGTGAAATAACCTCTATATGACACAGTGTCTGGGGTTGTATCATAATGATAATGACCACCTTGACCGTGATCACTAAAACAATGGAAGTGTTCCAGTCGTAAATCCAGATTCTGAAAAAATAATACATGTACAATATACTATAGCTATCAATAACTCTACCAATTATTTACAAGTTTTTGTAAATTTTTTTAAAACAATATTTTTCTTCGGGATGTCTGAATGGGACTGGGGGAACAGGCTTAGCCTATGTAAAACCCCTCTCCCTAATAACTAATTATATTCTAGTCTAATACTGTTGGAATTAAAAGCATGCATGGTTGATTAAGGGTTGGCTGAAATTAAATGAGGTTTGATGTCCTACTTTTCTGCACCGATTAGGACAATGAAGACGAGCATACGCAATACAGTGTGCTATTATGAAAATATTGCCTGGACAGCAGCACTACGACCTACTCTTATATCGAATTCCAACTGTAAAAGGTTCTTTTACGTTCACATTTATGTGTATACAGGACCTAGGTTTATCGTCCTGCACCCACTGACAAGGGAAACCACACTGGCAATTCCGGGGAACTTTCTGGACCTACACCAGGGTCGAACCTCACGGTTCCGAAGGAGTGGCTGACTGGGTTGAAGCCAGAAGGTCCCAGTATATTAGGGAACCCCAAAATTAGTAATTTTCTTAATATAAATACATTAATGGAACATAGTTTGTTCATGGACTAGATTTTGAAATGAAATGGTTTATTAAACATACATTATGCAAGAGCTAAATCTGTCTAAATTATTAATTAGACATTAATTAACTTATCCAGACCATAATCAACTCTCGATGGCATCGCTAGCCTGCGATATTTACTGGATTACCAACTTTAGTAATGATGATCAAGGCTAGCTCCAAAATTCTGGGCGGATCAATTTGACTGAAATTTTTAGCAATTCTCTTTACATTATCTAGTTTTTAACTATTATATTGAGAACTACAAGCCCTTTATCTAATCTTCCATAATGTATCTTTAAGGTCTCCTTCAACAACCGAACAAATGAAAACAAGTGTGGTGTTTATGGTTTTAACACTTTATAAACCAATAAAGTCACAGTTAATGATGATTATTATATTTTCATAAAATATCGTTAAAATTAAAAGATGCCAGATTTTTAGTAATTATTTTGACGAAAGGGCCCCTGTATCAATTACTGTCAGCCAATGATCAAAGGTTACTTAAAAAGGTCAACTTAACAAGCTCCTTGTTCCATATTAAACAAAACATTTATCTGGCAATAAATATAGAAACTTACCACATCATGGGATACAAGTTCTCCTAAACAGACCAATGGTGCATCCATATCAAAATACTGTAACCAGTTATCTATGTCTCCACCCTCTTTTAATGGACGATCAGAGAAGTCTGGCTGCTTTATAAATCATACATTAGCACATCGTGAAGATACAACATATTTATAATAATATTTAATCTCCTTTCTAATTCTCCTTCCCTCTCCAAACACTGGTTGTCATTCAAAGTCTCCAGATTAGATTATGACCAATAATGATGAGTTACAATTCTTTGTGTATGCAACACAAAATTCCGCTGTATCATAACGCCTGTCATTGAGTCAACTGGCGTGCTTTCAAATCTCCGGTTGTACGTGACAAGGATTAGGGTTGCCTGTCCAACCTCGTGGGTTTTCTTCGGGTCCTCTGGTTTCCTCCCACTGCTAAAGACCCCTACGCGCAAGTGAATTATTGAAATAAAATTAAACCATATGCTAGTCCCGAAATGACCTAGTTTGTGTCGAGTGGACGTTAAACCCCATTTCTCTCTCTCTTTCTCGCAACACAAAATTCAAATTTCAAAATATAAATTGCCTCCAAAAGTGATTCAAATTATGCCCCCCATACACCAACTGCTATCTTTTCCACAATAATATGCCATTTGGCCCCCATATAGATATCAGGCCGTATATCTGCACATATTTTTGTTTATGTGAAAAGTCAAGAAAAGCTTAAAATGCCTGAAACTCTTTGTTTTAGGTGAAAAATAATATTGTTGATTCAATTCAACTTAAATTGATGAATTGCTTTGTGAAGTACGGGTAGCTATCCAAATTTAAAATTCTAGGCCCACAGGTTGAGCCAATGTTCAGATATAACTGATTATGTGTTCAGTTGTCGACAATTTAAGCTACAAAGGAAATTAAATCAAGTAAACAAACCTACTTTTGATCAAATGGAGCTTACACAACATCATAGAGGCAGATAAATGGGGTTTAACGTCCACTCGACACAAACTAGGTCATTTTGGGCTAACACATTGTTCAATATTATTTCAATAATTTCGCTTGCGCGTAGGGGTCTTTAGCAGTGGGAGAAAACCAGAGGACCTGGAGAAACATCCTGAGGTTGGACAGGTGACCCTACTCCTTGTCACGTACAACCGAGGAATCGAAACCACACCAGTTGACTCAATGACAGACATTATGATAAAACGTGCACACGCTAACCATTCCGCCATCCCCCCCCCCCCCCCCATTAAAACATTATACTGATGCAATTCAACTTTATTTTTACCTAAATCAAAGAAGTTTTGCTCCTTGAATTAATGTAAATTGTGCATGTGGTGCTGTTATTATCAGTTAGTAAAAGAAAACAGACCAATGTAAAAGAGTGAAAAGCATTGTTAGAAAGGATTAGCAGTAGAAATAACTAATTGAGGATATTTCTATTAAGAACTCTAAAACAAAAGAAGGAAATTAATTAATCTGTAACTATTCATTTGATAATTACTCATTTAGCGAGGATATTTTAATAGCAATTGAAATACTGTTAAACTGGAAATTTATATAATGGGTGGGGGGTATACATGCATATTTAAACATAAACACATATAAATTAATGTGAAGTTTGGAGGGGTGTTACATAAACATATAAATTAATGTGAAGGTTGGAGAGGTGTTGACATAAACATATATAAATTAATGTGAAGTTTGGAGGTGTGTTTACATAAACATATATTATAAAATAATGTGAAGGTTGGAGAGGTGTTGACATAAACACATATAAATTAATGTGAAGGGTGGAGGGGTGTTAACATATAAAATTAATGTGAAGTAGGATATGGTTGTGTGAAATAAATACATATTAAGTTGAATAAAGACAGTGCTAAGTTACTTGTGGATCTACCAAATAGAAATGTGAATTGCAATAAATATGTCTGATGTTAGATAATATTTAGAAGGTCATAATCTATTTTTTAAAGTTTTATTTTTAGATTTTTTAAAGTTTTATTTTTGGAATATTACTATAGAAAACCCAGTAGATATATTATTTGGTTAATCAGAAAGGCAGGAAATATTAGTAAACTGTTAATATCTAGTTGGTGCAATTACAAAAACTTTGATTTCGAGGCTCTGAGTAACTTTAATAAGGATAAGGCTATGAAAACTAGACAACTATAGATGGGGCCTGGAAGGCCTACTAGTAACAAAGATGTCTAGTCAATGTCAACAAATACACCTCAAGAAGAACCCATCTAAGTTTTACGAAATTCCATCGAGAACTTTGTCCTGTATCAGATTTAAATGCATTTATAACTCCAGGATTTTCAAATGAAAATTTTCAATTTTCGATCAGGTTCTTCCTCCTGATCAAATTATCAGTTCCCGCCACTGAATGGAGGTGACACCAATATTTGTCCACAATCAAACAGAACGGTTTCAATTATAACAGTGTATTTCACAAATACCTTGAGATCCCACCTGTTGTAGTCAGATTTCCGATATAAAGAAATTAGTAAAGAACAATTGGTACCAATTTATTGAACAGAATAACATACCATAATATGTAGAGTTGCCTTTCCAGATTCTATAAGAAATACTCCTCCTAATCCAACAGCTTTATCGTTATAATGTTCATCTAGTGTTTTCCTCATTGATGACATAAAATTCTCTTGTCCTGTTCTTTTACTAGCTTTTACCTCCAATACCTAGAAATAAACAAATTTACAAGATTTCAACCACAGTGGTTTTTAACCCTAACTCAATCGCTAAGGGTTGTGAGGTAGATCAGAATTTTATTTCTGCTGGGTGCCAGAATATAGTCAGGCCCAAGGTCTGTGCTTACTGTGGAAGATTCTAGTAGGACCACTCCGCTTTCCCATAACCCTAACCATTTAGCTCCTATCAGCACCAGTTGGTACTATGTAACGTATATGGTCGACAACGTCTGGCTGAAACATTGGTGTCCAAAATGTCAGTCCATCAAATAAATATTACTCTAGAATGAATGAAGACTTATAAAAACGCTAAAATGACTACACAAGTGTTTCCTTTTTGTTTTCAAATAAATGGCAGAATCTCTGAGGTATCCAGGCTGTAATCGCTATAATGGAAATCTCGCTTTCCTCCTGCTTATTTGCAGTAATATTGAACAGTATCAAGTCATTTCATCCACAGTTTCTTTATCAATTCAGATTATAGGGAAACCTTCCAATCTAAACAAAATTAAGGTATATGCAAGAAATGGCAATATATATGTATATGTCACCCAATCTATATAAATTCCTACCTTTCCAGATTTCCCTTCTGAACAGAGTAAATTAGCCATCAAACAGAATTCTGTAGAGTTGGGCAATTTCTCAAGTTTATAATCTGTTAACTATAATATATATATAAATAAACACTGTTAGTTAACCATTCTATGTTAACTATAATATATAAATAGTTTGAACTATAATATATATAAACAGTTTTAAACATTCTCTGCTTAAAAATTGGTTATTGTGAAGTTCGTTTAACAAATTTTAATTTAAGCAACATGAAAAAGGGCCAGAAGTAATTAAAGTTAATTGTTGAATTTCAATAATTTAAACAAAGCCTGTATCGGATTATCAGGTTTGTTAAAAATTGCCTTAAAAGTACATATGTCTTTAATGGAAGAAAAATACTTTACAAATTTCAGGCATTGGAGACTAAAGGGAGGTAATCTGGCATTTTTTTTTTTTTTTTTAAAGAAATAATTGACTCCTGTAACTAGACGTTTTAACAATTCCTGACTTAAAAAAAATAGGTTATGTTATGACTTATTAACATGTATATTAAATGGACACTGTATTATTTATCAAATAATTATACATTGTGAAAAGAGTATTCTTGAAGACTAAAGGGAGATAATTTAATCTCTTCTCTAGAATACAGAAATATAAAAGATAATATAATAAAAATATTCTGGTTCTCAGATATTCCCTTGTCACTTAAAAGACCCACATGACCCGGTTTTATTTCAAAAGGTAAAAACTTAAAATAATCTTATTCTTTACCCCAGGTAAGTGTTTTACAGAAAGTAGCTCTATAATCATATTTGAATTAATTCAGAAATATGGCATAGGCTCATTTATCAAGTATACATCCCTGATAAATGTTGACAATCAAAATAATGCTGGATAATCATACATCCCTATAAACAACATGACAAGCGATATGTAGTACCTTGAAATGTGATGTTTATAAGACGTCATTTAGTCCAGTAGCGATCCTTGGACAAAATAAAAACACAAAAATAAAAAGCTCTCTCCAGTATCAGATTGTTGGTAAAGATTGTCTGAGAACCAAAATATGTTTTTTGTATGGCCTAACATTGCCTGTTATTATCCAACTTACATATAATAACATTTATTCCACTAACAATGAAGAAATTTCAACTGCAGACAATTTATGTAATTGATTTTGTAATAACAATGGGGTAATTTGAAATTTTGACAAAGGATATTTTTATAACTGATATTGTAAAACAACTTAAAGACATTTCATTTAACTACTCTCATAATAACAATGGGCTAATTTAAACATTCAACTGAAAACATTTCCTGTTACTATTGCCAAGAAAACAATAGATTTTATAATACCTGATCACCAAGTTTAGCTATATAAGATTTCTTGACAGGATCTTGATTTCCATTCACATCTAACTTCACATCACATATTAACTGTAACACAAAAGTATTTTGTATCTTTAAAGACACTGATCATCATCTGAGGGGTTCTGAGTTCCATACAAACTAAAACATTGTGAAAATCTCTGAAAAGAGAGAGAAAGAGAGAGAGAGAGAGAGATGGGGTTTAACGCCCACTCGACACAAACTAGGTCATTTTGGGATTAACATATGGTTTAATTTTATTTCAATAATTAGCTTGCACGTAGGTGTCTTTAGCAATGGGAGAAAACCGGAGGAACCGGAGAAAACTAACGAGTTTGGACAGGCGACCCTACTCCTTGTCACGTACAACCGGGGAATCGAATCCCCGCCAGTTGACTCAATGACAGACCGTATGATACAGCACGCGCGTGCTAACCATTCGGCCATCCATCCCCCCTTGAATCTCTGAGAGAAATGTGGTTTAACGCCCACTCGACACAAACTAGGTCATTTTGGGACTAACATATGGTTTAATTTTATTTCAATAATTCGCTTGCACGTAGGGGTCTTTAGCAATGGGAGAAAACCGGAGGAACCGGAGAAAACTCACGAGGTTGGACAGGCGACCCTACTTCTTGTCACGTACAACCGGGGAATCGAATCCCTGCCAGTTGACTCAATAACAGACTGTATGATACAGCACGCGCGTGCTAACCATTCGGCCATCCAACCCTCCTTGAATCTCTGAAAGAAATATCAGTCCAATAATAGTTTCCTTCAGCAACCTCTGCACATGAAATAAACAGGATATGGTCAAAATCAATTTGTGTACATTTTAGCATGGATTAAGCTGTGAAAAATTGTCCACAAAATACAAGATAGGGATCAGAAATTTTACGATTCATAAAAAAAGAATTTACAAAGTCTTTGTTAAAACTCTTATATCTAATATAATACTTTTGTCTTTTAATATAGAATTTTTTTTAATGCAACAATAAAGTAAAATATATCTGAAACTACAAAAAAGCTATGAATGGTATAATATTGAAGCAGAACATTATTTATTTATTTATTGGGATAAAATGGTTTAAGACTCTAGTGCTGTGACAGCCTACCTCAGAATTGACACCAACAACTTCCCATGGTCCTGCTCCTGCACCAATAACAAAAGCTCCTGGTAATCCTACAGCTTCTGCTACTTTACCTACATCATATACCTAGAAATATCATAACATTTATTTATAGACAGGTCTATCTGAAATTAATATCATAAAGTATAGACAGGCCTGGTAATATTATAAAGTATATTTATAGACAGGCCTGGTAATACTGATATCATAAAGAGTATTTATAGACATTATTTATATTATAAAGTATATTTATAGACAGGTCTGGTAATAATGATATCATAAAATATATTTATAGACAGGGCTGGTAATAATGATATCATAAAATATATTTATAGACAGGGCTGGTAATAATGATATCATAAAATATATTTATAGACAGGGCTGGTAATAATGATATCATAAAATATATTTATAGACAGGGCTGGTAATAATGATATCATAAAATATATTTATAGACAGGTCTGGTAATAATGATATCATAAAATATATTTATAGACAGGGCTGGTAATAATGATATTATGAAGTATATTTATAGACAGGCCTGGTAATAATGAACATCATAAAGTTTATTTGTACAAACAAAATGGAGAATTGGCGTGTATGTAATATAACTCCTAATAGTTGGAATTTGTTGAAGAGTATAAGTAACACCGCTGTCCTGGCAAAATGTACATTCTATCCTATTACGACAACACATAATTTTGTAGGAATATTACTGACATAAATTCGAATACCGCACGGGAATTAATTATGGAAAGTAACAAGGTGCACCTATTTATGAATTTGAATATTTTGTCAACACATGATTTTTAATTGTGGTCTGAATCCGTCTGCTTAAATAATGATAAGAGTTATGCCCAATTATTTTCAGTAAAAATGTCTGACGGTAAAAATTTGATTTCTATAATTTGCTTGTGTGTAGGGTCTTTGTGGGAGGAAACCGGAGAAAACCCCACATGGTTGGACAGGTATCCCTAATCCTTGTCATGTTGTACAAGCTGGGAATAAAAACCAGGGTTTAAATAACCAATACAGTGCCAAATAAATACTTACTTTATCTTTCTGTGGTAGAGGTGCAAGATATGGAGGTCCCCCAATATCAGCTAATCGTTCACTTCCGCATATACCTAAAATAAATTTCATTAATAGAAACTAGGTTTAAAACGTCATTCCAGCTCATTTGGCAAGAGAAATAATCAGCAAAATTTCCAGTATTAATCTAAGCTGACAAGTGTAGGTTTTATTAGAGGAACCAAGAAGGTATTGTTGATATTTGACTCCACTCATTGATTCAATCTAATCCCAAAATGATATTTAATACAGATCACAATTTATAGGAGCACATTCAGTGGTGACACCAGGATCTTTGCGGAGGTCGTGGGGAGTAAAAATTCCCACTGAAATACCCATTTGGAAAATACCCAGGTATATTGTCTGCCGGGATTCGAACCAGCAGCCTTCAGTGTGGAACATGTACATGCTATCCAGTAATTAAAGCTATAAGGGTGCTTACTGGTCAAAATCAAATAGGATACACAATATATCTAAATGTAGTTTATAAAAAATATATAGATAACAAAGAACCTTATCTACGAAAAGATAACCTATCAAAATCAGATAAGTAATTGATTAATAAGCCTTATATTAACAAGCCATCAGTGAAGCTGATGTCCCCAGCCAAAAAACCCAAAATAAATAGACGACACATTTATCTTTTTTAAAAGTATTGAGCAATCAAACTGATTATTTATGCTTAGTCTATATCAAACTCAATCAAGGTTTTGAAGTACCTGGTAGTGAAACTATACACTAAGGTGGGGGACACTTATCGATATCACGTTTAGTACCGTAATCGATCTAATTTTGAAAGTCATCATCCAAAATAAAATGGTATCATATTTAATCCCTCCAAACTTTCAAGCTAGATGATAGGTTAGCTGATTTGTTAATTACTAATTATATATCTAATTGTTTACATAAAAGGGTTTGATATCATAAATCAACAAGTCATTATACTTATAGAGGTTATACAAATGTTTATACACCAGATTATTCATGATAATCATCTTGAGGTGTCGTGCAATTACTAAGGATTAATCAATCACAAATTTTGGATATCAGTTACCTACTACGGTAATCAAATGAAACCAATGATCATATCAAGACCATAACGTATATACTGGGAATTAAAAAAATGTTGTTAACATCATATTTTTTGGGTCAAAATGGACATTTGCCTTGCAGAGTGCTATGATGGAAATTTTGCCTATGCAGCAGCAATTCCAGCTTTTCCACCCAAATGACTAGACACTTTTCTTTTACAGGCCCTTTTCTCCCGCCCTAATCACAAGAGATCGAGAACCAGGCTGGAAAATCTAGAGGAACTGCCTTTGTCAACAATGGGTTTGACGCCACAACCTCTTAGTTATAGAGCCAGCACCTTACTCATTAAGCCACCGTGGCTCGATCACCATATTTATAAGCATCATACATGTCTTTCTTCAAAAAAAAGTATCAGATAGCTTCAGATTGTTGTACAAAAGTTTCTATTAAGAGCGTAATTCCCATATAAGTAACAAATTTTCATTTCATTTTATTTATTTGTATTGATATATGCTTGATCACAAATTGTGAAATCTTGTTGAAACATCATATTGAAGTAAACCATAGTAATTGTTATCCATACATAGTGTGTTATTTGATTATGTTCCAATTACTGAATGCCATTCAAAGAATACAGTTTTATATCTTCATGGCACTACTTCTTTTAAGATTTTTAAATGACAAAACTTAAGTTTCTGAGTTAGGGCCTACAGCCAGTCCCAAGGAGAAAAGGTGTAGCCAATACATAGCTCTGGGGCTCATTTAAGCCCAGGGGCCCAAAACTATTTTTTTTTTTTACATCAGCATGGTAGCCTAGGTATTCGGGCAGTAGAATCGAGTAGAGCCCCTGATCTCATCCCCAATTCCCTACATTGACTATGCACTGGTAAAGTTAGAAACCCTATTTTTTGGCATAATCCTTGCACAGGTGTTGGGAGGTGGCTGGTTACACATGAGAACCAATTCTTACCTGGTGAAGCCAAATTAAAGGGCTTTTGGGTTAAATCAGGACAGTCAACAACACTGACAGAAACATTTGCAAAATTTCTCTTCAGGCCATCTTCCAACACTAAAAAAACCAAACCAAACCATGTTTTTGCCTCATTTATAGTCATTTGTAAAGCTAACAAAACCTAATTTATTCGTTACAGTTATGATTTGATTGTCTATATAAACACAAAATGAAATAAAATGGGGTTTAACGTCCTACTGTTCTGCTCCTAAACTGGGATAATGAAGACGGCCATACGCCATACAGTGTGCTATGAGGGAAATTTTGCCCGGGCAGCGGCGCTACGGCCTACTCTTATATCGAATTCCAACTGCCAAGGGATTTTTTTTTTCTGTGCACGCCAATATGTACATAGGCCCTCCATCCTGCATCACTGACAAGGGGAAACCACGCCGGAAAATCTGGATGAACTTTCTCGGCCAATGCAGGGATCGAACACCTGACCTCCTGGCTAGCGAGCCAGCGTCTTACCCACTTAGCCACGTGATCCCCCCTATTTAGAGGCATATAAACATAGGCGTACGAGCTGGGGGGCAGCTGCCCCCCCCCATTTTGGGCTCCAAATGCTGGGAAAATTTGGGCACACAGTTTTATAAAAAAATATTGTGCTCTTGAAAGTGTCCAATTTAACAGTGAATTTATTATTATTATGTAACATACTAAGAACCTTAAACTACATTTTTTGGGCACCAACCACCACCGCCCCCCCCCCCCAGTCAACAATTTCCCCGTACGCCTATGCATATAAACATAAGAGCTATAGTAATACCTATCTTTTAACTAAAGAGGGCGAATTTGACCACAGCAGCGGTAATATTTTATTAAAACGTTTGCACTGTAAGAATAATGAAATGGGTTACCGGTGTACACAATTAAATAATACATGTGTTGTGTATTTATAATATTAATAAAATAAATTATCATTTGCTGCCTCTCCCTAACGAAGACGGCACGCCTAACGGTGGTTTCTTGTTGGCAACAGTAAATCTAGAGAGGACTCGTGCACTGTGATCTATGAAAAGGGTTATCCAAACTGATAAACCTGTATGCCGTATAGTAGGCCCTCTATACGTGGTCATGTATGGGTGGCTACACAAACAAAGACAAATTTTAAAAAAGTAAATAAATGTATACCCTTTGCTGCCTCCTCCAACGATGGCACGTGTAACGCTGCTTTCTTGTTGGTAACAGTAAATCTGGATGACATGGTGACAATCTTAGATGCGTCTTTTCAGTTCAGATTTTTGTCTTATCTCTGTCGTTATCTTACACCGTCACAAGGCTAAAACTAAAGTAGAAATCGCATTCCCAGAAAATGTCTAAGGGACATAACTGCATTTTTCAAAGAAAGGGTGGCCAGAGTTGTAAAATATAGTTCTAAATCATATCCTTGTCAGCAAACGTATTTCAAGTTTCAATGTTTCATCAGCGTCTAGTTGTTCGGGTGGATCGAAAAACCGAGGTCCCGTGTCCTGCATACTGGTGTTCACGTAAATAAAAAACCTTTGATACATATACATGTAGTTGGAATTTGAAATAAATCCCCGCCTGACTCGCGCCCCTCCCAGCCCCCCCGCCCCCTACCCTATACTTATAGCGTAGCCTATGCCAGATTTCATTAGCCCAATCGGTGGAGAAAAGTAGGATGTTAAAACTCACCTCTAATGCAGACGGAGTTGTTGAAATACTCTCTGTTGCATCGTGATTTACCGGCGATATTTGAGATAGAAAGTCACTTTCAACAATATTAAATAAGTTTCCCCAATTAGTGATACGATGAACAATTATTCTGTTTTTCAACCCGTTGATTTATATATGCGACCGTGAACCAAGAAGTACCTTCGGGATTTTTGCAAGCTCGGTTCTCAATTGCGGGGCTGACAGATAAAATGTGTCTAGTCGTTGAAATGGGACGAAAACCGATGTGCACTCATGTTCATATAGGCTTGCACCAAGTTGCATATAAAAGCACTCTTGGCAGTTGGATTTCGTAGGAGTTGGTGGGCCAATTTCACCCTTTTGTATTTCATGTAGCACATAGCCGATCATGCATGACTCACACTATAATTAGTATTATACAACGTTTGGGAAATATTCCATTAATGTATGTTCGTTTTTCATTTTGAGTGAAGTCTGTATTACTACAGGCCCGGGGCTGTACATCGCAGTGGACGCTTACGCTTACGGCTAGCCCCAGGATCCATTCACTTGAACTGGTTGTTTGTGATGTCTATATATTGTGTCTTGTCCGTAGATTTATCTTCTACATTTTGTTTGTGCGTGGTGCAGCCCCGCGCCTCCCATGCACTTACTATTATATAATACTCTAAAACACCAAAGTATTTCTCGGATTCGGTGTTGGTCTTTTTATTTAAACATTTTATACAGTATTATTAAAGATAGCTGAATTACCGTCATTGACGGAGACGTTTCGAAACACACCCGTTCATCCATGAAGTTGTTAAGTAAAAGTGTTATAAAATCTAAATTATTTATTTGTCCATAAATGTTTTATCAAATGATAAATATTTATTAACGGTATTTCACAGTAAACAATAACAATAAACACAATGCATAACGAAAACTCAATCAAAACAAAAAGCCCATACCAATAAAAGTTTTTTTTACATAATTTCTGAAAATATACTGTCATTTAGTTTCCCTAACTGTAGGGTTAGGCTACCTTTTCTCACTTCAAAGGTATTCATAATGATATAAAATATAGGATAAGCTGTCTCAATTTGCTATGCCAATACTTTATATTTGAAACTGCTGGATTGCAGTCTTGTACCGTCAGTCGCTGATTTAAACTCAGATGGGATAATAAGCTCTAAATGACATCTGTTGCCTGAAAACGTCGAGAGAATACTCTTCGAAACGTCGCCTAAAAAATCAGTAATTGTTCTTTCATAAGTAGGTGTTAAAGATGATTCTTCATGGCTCTAATACTTGTATAAAAACGTCTGAAAAGGAGTGTCGTGGGAGCGAGTCTTGGGTATTAAAACAGGGTATCAAGTCCAACTGGAGCTAAATTCTAAAGGAGTTGAGGAAACTTAAACGTCGATTTGGCTTAATTGCGTTCGGGCATGTGGTTTCGCACCTCTCTTATTTAAAACAATAGAACAATATATAAATGTGTTAAGGACGTTGCTAGGGCCGGTTGTGAAAAATGCGGGGCCAAATTTGGGAGGTCCGAAGTTACAGGATATGAATAACTTTAACTAGGCCTATATTCATTCATATTTAAGGCCAACTATTCTTTACATCACAATTAGTAATTAATTAATACATGTATAGTACATTGGAAATTTGAATATTATTCACCATATCTTGATGTCCGAATGGGCATATTCCTGGTCGGACGTTTGGAAAATAGCGTAGGACATGTCCGGCGTATACGGGCGAAATAGCACCCATCGTGTATACGGCGCCCCTTTTTAGTGCGGGGGGGGGGACGAAATTGGTCAAATGCGCAAAAAACCGGCCCTGAACGTTGGGATACAACGTATCGCCCCCATTGTTAACACTATCCAATTGGTAACTTTTGGAGTCTATAATATGTGTTTACCGGGATTTCATTCATAGGTTTGCATTGATTATAAGCAGGAGGTTTACTTTTCATATTTTGCTTGGTTAATTTCATTTTGCCATGCAACAAAGAGGAGATGCGCGTGCAACCACGACAACCATTGTTGCTTTGGTTACGTTGACTAGATTCACAAACAGTTTCTTCCATATTAACTTTATCAACATTATTTGTGTTCGATGAAGGTTTCATATTTGGAGGCACATGGATTTTCTTGGCGGGATTTCGAAAACTATGTGTTTTCCTGCAGGTGTCCGAAACAGTTTTAAGTTCTCCGTAGACTTCACTTCCTGCACTTGGTTTGCATAAAGCAGACATATTACACGTTGTTGCCATGGGCAACCTATGTTTTACCCCCACAATTTCCCCATTAAATTGAGTGCTGCTCGATAACATCTTGGTTCCACCATTTGGATTCCTGTGGGATAGTGATGACACTGGAGTTGAACAGGGTCTTACTCGGATTTGTGGTAAATGTGGCTCCATAAATTGATTAACGTTGACCACTGTTGTCGAAGGCGTCGATGGGTCGTCTTCGGGTGAACAGGGAGTGTTATTATGTCGAACAGGAGATAAATTTGGATAGTTCCGTTTGGACATCTGCCTGTTCGATTCTTCCACAAATCTCTTTCCACCTGCTAAACCAATTGCTGATGGATTCAAAGAACAAACTTCCGTTACTAAACTGAAAGGAAAAAAAAACAACATTTCTTTAAATTCTGTTTAAGTGACATTTAGTAATTGAATGGGAATAACACATGGCATAATTATATTGAATACAAGGTACTTAAAAGTGTATTTCTGACGACATTTCAGCGGGGGGTTCTCTCCTCTTCACCAACTTGATAAAGACAGTAAACCCCGTCGAAATGTCGTCATTTATACAGGCAGCGAACCCCTGTCGAAATATCGCAAGAAATAAACCTGTAAGTAACTAGTATTCCATAAAATTGTGCCACGTGTTATAAATTATGTCATTAAGAATGTAAGTCATTTGAAAAGACCAACTGTTACATGATTTGTGCTCAAGAAAATATTTTTTCATAAACATATATCATCCTTTAATAAGAAAACCCCAACGCTGTCCATAAACTAGCCTATGTATATATATTTAAAGATTGTGTTTTAATCAGATGATATCCTAAAATTTGTAGGGATAATGAAGACGGACGTACGTCCTACAGTTTGCTATGAGAGACATATTACCAGGACAGTAGAGATACGACCTACTCTTATATCGAGTTCCAACTGCCAGGGGTTCTTTTCGTGCACGCCAACGTGTACACATGACCTCGGGTTTTGGTCCCATAGGAATAACAAGGTGCTGCCCCTGCCAGGTCCCCTGTCTGCACCACTGACAAGGGGAAACCACGCTGGAAAATCCTCTCTGCTTAAAGAACCCGATCAACCTTAAGAACGTCATCAAAGTCCCCCACCCCCCAAAAATGAAATAAAGATAAGGAAAGGGAATATGGCCAAAAGTGGTGCCAAGGGTTACATTGATTGTATCTAATCTTTCAGAAATAACCAACTAACCAATCTGGTTAAAACACAGATCCTATTTCGTTTCGTTTTTATAGTTCAAAATTTCGTTTTACTTGTCTTTACTACACTTGGTAGTGTAGGCCATCGAAAGTATAAAAAAAACGAAACGAAATATAGATCTGTATTTGAATCAGATTGCCAACTAACCAGCCATTGTGTGCGAGGGTGCAACAAATTGGTTAATCAAGAACTTATGGTATAATACAACCGATAAACTGTTGTAAAAGAATATTATATATATTTTAGTTTAGGTGGCTATCCATAGAACAAAAAGTAAATAAACGGATGTTTTCTTTCCCCTTGCTCTATGGAGGTGATGGTGATACAGACTTTCAACACTTTAAATAATCAATCACGAAGATATTAGAGGAAATCAAAATTAGGCCTACGACTGATCGCTGTTTTGCACGTTTTCATAATTATTTATTGAAATAATTATATTGTCGGTTTCCTTTTAATACAGAAGTCCTAATTATAAATATATATTATTTACACTCTCCGTCGGCATCATCATTTGATCCATCAGCTACACAGTTCTACGGGCCTGTCCAGCCTCTGCTTCTTTTTTAAGGAAGTGTTGCCGCCCCACCCCCTCTCGTTTCCTAAGTTACAATTATGTTAAACAAAAAGCTGATCGTCTCACCCAATTCTATTACTGATTAACAGCGTATTGAAATCAATACTACCAGCAAGGGAACTGAAATTATAAAATGGTTAGTAAAGTTAGTAACTAGTAACTGCGTGTAAGAGAAATCTTAGATCTTGCTCTTTTAATTTGATGCTAATATTGTTAGTGATTTAGTAAAGTTTGTGCCGGATAATTGTAGTAGCTCTTTTGAAGAGCAAGGTTATGTCCGTGGAGTGGTTACTCTTGTTTACCCTATAATGTAGCCACATTCTCTCGGCTTCTTCTAGAACAAATTCCCCAACAAGTCATCGGTTTGGCTATTGGGTGTGACTCGAATATTCTATTTTATAAATAACTTGCAGGATACCCGGTTTCACCCGGGGTCAAAATTCGCCTGCGGCCCAAATTCGACCGAGGCCCAAATTCGATGGCCTATAACAGTCACGGGTTAATGCTGGTAATTTGATAACAAATAATGTGGGGGTGGAGAGCGGTGATGAAGCGTGATGGGCGAACATACATCTTTGAATTTATTTATAAATATAGATAGATGGCTGGTCTAAAATGGCGGAGAACAAATAAACGTAGGCCAACACACAATTAGTAGCACAACATGTATGGAGGGACGCGGGATGAACGATTTGGCGCAGGTATATAAAATATAGCGGCACTCACCAAACATTGCTAGGTTTCATAGCATAAGGATCGGGTATATCTCGTCCCATGACAGGAGGAACTCGCGATAAATCCCCAGCTCCTCCAACGGTAAACTCGTCTCTATAATCATGCATATAGTTCGACGTGTCCCTGTGATGTTTGAAGGCATATGTCTTTTCTTTACCTTCTCGAGCTAATCTCTGAAACACAGCTGGAGAAGGCCTCCTTTTAACATACGACGTTTTAGGTTTTATTTCGGTATCCTTTCTGGGTTCAACCCACCCACACAGGTTGAGAGCAGCGTACATCGAAGTCGTCAATATTTCTTTTGATTTGTTACAGATGCAGTAATGTCCACAGCTACAATTAATTAAACGCTTTACTGCTGATTGTTCTGTTGACTGTTTGTCGTCGCAGTCCAATAAACGCTGCGAATCCTCAGTAGTTTGATTATAGACACTACGATTGGGGCTAATTTCACTAACATCGTCATCGATAACAGAGTTACCCCCCTTGGTCCGAGAGTCCGTGAATGCGTGTCTGTCACGAACAGCATCGTTGCTTTTTGCTGACGGAGTCAAAGATTTTTGATTGAGAGTGTTGGAAGTCCTTGAATTTGTGGTATCGGAAGCACTATTGGCAGGTACATTGATAGCATTAGAAGATATCAGTAATGACGGTTCTTTTTCTTCATAGGCACCACCTTTCTGAATCCCCATCTTCGCACTAGATCTCTTCTGAATCGCATCCTTTGATGTTTTAGTTTGATCGCGTCCTTTGTCACCTAGTTCTGATGAAACAGAGTCTGCATTCCCATTGTTCTGTTTTATGGATATCGTTGTGTAATCCGATGCTGATAATTGAAGTGATGTTGTCTTTGGGTTGTTTTGGGTATCATCCGAGGGCCCACTCGCCATTGTCTGATCATTTACACGCGTTTCACCCATCTCCTCCTCTAGTTAAGCCACAATTATTCACACATATTCTAACACATCCATAAAACTATCACATCTTTTACCATCACCAAAATATTTTTTTTAGTATAAAATAAAAGACTGTTGTAGTTATGCATAGAGGTTAGCATAAATGCATTCTAATATCCACCACCACCAATTGGGGCAACTCGATTAGCTGAGCCCAATTATTATGTTTTCTAAATAAAGGGAAGAAATTCCATCTAAACCAATTCCATTACCACAGGTTACACATGGAGAGATTGCAAAATATTCTAATCACAGGGTCGAGTTTACTTCTAGTTGTCGGCGATGTCACCACGGAAGTACTATGGAAGCAGACGTACAAGCCACCAGCTAATTCTATACTTTCAAAGGTAATTGTGAGTCTTTTGTAAATTGTTCACCTTATGCATGTAAACCCGCAGTTCGTTTACTTCATTACTACTATTAAATGATTTACTGGTCTCGATAAAGAAATTAAAGATTTTAGGCTCAACAGTGTGATTTTCTAGGCTAATCTCTTCATTTTTCTTTAGAAGTATTAATTCATTGTGTCACTAATCTGTTCGATCTCATCGATACCCATTGTTCACTACCTGGGTTAACTCTCCTTTATTGACTAATCAATAGTTAAAGAACGTACCTTAAGAAGATTTACGTTAATCCTTTGTAGGCTTTACCGTTTCCATCTAATGGCATAAGCCATATTGAACAACAAACTATAACAACATACGAGACGAAACAACAAGATTGGGTTGACCAGACGGGAATAAAACTGTTTCTTGATGATTGTACATCCATTAAGGCTACATGTTTAAATTAATCCTTCATAGTGTTGTTTACATCTTGTCACATATGTTGGCTTAACTAGGATATTTGAACCCAGAAGAAAGGTCTCGCTAGGTTCCCTGATAAGATGTCACATCAATTAAGATTTGTGTTCCAAACATTTCACACAACTTACATTATTCCTTTGGGTGCTTCGGCTATTCGTAGCATTTAGGTTAGAGAAGAAAGCTAAATTGTTTTGTCTTTTTTCTGAATTAAAATTCGGATTCCAACACGAATTAATTTGACCCGAGTAACCCACTCACGAACGATGCAATCATTAAGACATTATTATCGACACTTGAAGGCCAATATTCAATACGTAGGTGCAGTAACCTGCAATTCCATTTGTGTTATAACATGTACAACTATATTGTTCGTCTGTCTCTGCACACAATGTAATCAATAATTACTTCTAAATCAAATCTGAAATAACAAAGAAAGAATGTCATCAATAGAACTGTTGCCAATAATTAAAGGTCAGACGTAGCAAGAATTCATTACTTACGGGTTACTGGGTGTGAAAAAAGAATTCCTTGTAATTAGCGTATTATTTTGTTTCTCAAATATCAAGGATGTCGATTAAATATATACAATATTACTGTAAGGGGGTGGGGTGGGACAAGTAATTTAATATTTACCTGTACATATTTATATAGATGTAAACGATCCATTTTTAAAGGGACGCATGCCAGAACAAGAAATGAAATGGGGTTTAACGTTCTACTATTTGCACCGACTGGGCAAATGAAGACGGACATACGCCTGTGCTACCAACTACACTTATTTAGAATTCTAACGGTCAAGGGTTCTTTTACGTGCACAAGACCACGGTTCCCACACAAACGCCGAGACACTGTACTGGTTCAGCTCTGAAGATAAGATCATAAATAACACAAGGTACTCTTACTAAAATAATCAAACAGACCCTACTTGTTCAAAATTTATTAAAATCGACAAATTCTACCTAAACATATAACCATATTAAGGGCTACCTATTTTATACATATTGCTTTATTCCACCCTGTGTTTCGTGGCACATTCCCGAAATCAGAAATGAACAGTAAACATGACAATACAAGAAATAAACAATTAATAAAAGTACTATCAAATCAAGTGAATGGATTTCTATTACGAGTTGACTCCTGATTTGCTGAGTGACAGATTGGCGTATTTCCAAAACAATTTCATGATAAACATTATTCATAAAACATTCTATGTTTTAATTTGTTACTGTACCATTTTCTTTAGCATAGTTTACATTCCAAATAATATAAAACACCTCTACGCTATGTCACAATTTTAAAACATATATCCTTAGTTTCAGATGTTACACTATTCTGTTACCGGTATCTAAAACCAAAAAACAAAACACTTTGTCATAAGTCCATTGGACCAATCCTTGTTACGGTGTGTCCGGCAAACAACGTCCACGGCAACTCGGGAAAAACAAACAAATAAATAGTCCGTATATATTACTAGCTTGGTGATCGAGGCGTTTATTGTTTATTACTTTGATTAGATTTATCACAGATTGATGAACCAACTGTAAATAATTAATGAACAACCTTTACCTTTTGATATCAATGAATGATGAGAAACCACGACATCGTGCACGCCATCTTTCCAACTACTCACGCAGACCACATATGAACGCCCATCTGCCATTTTGAAAATTCATTTCTGTGGTTTTTCTCTGTATGGACACGTCAATACCAATTGCCATAAACAAAGAAATTTAATTTTCATTTGTATTGACTATAAGTCGGTGGTACATCACGGTTGATTTCACATATTATCTATTTATATATAATAATGTAGACACAATAAAGGTGTCTGCCCAGGTGTAAAATAATGAAATTATAATTTAGCTGATATATACCGAGATATACCGTTTCAGACCAACAGATTAATATCAAATTACCATAATATGACATAATGTTATAGCATGTTTGTCACAAACATAAAAGATTAATTTCGGTGAACCTTATCGTGTATACCTAGTGTAGGATACATGTATGTATTTAAGGTAACATAATATTATTGTCATATCGTTAGGGATATCGGGCAAGCCAGAATTAAAATGAGACTTGCTCCATTTTGGTATTTTGGTGCAAAAGCAGGGAGAGGACAAAGGGTCTGGGGGGAGGGGTAGTTTGTGGGGGACATCCAATCAAAGAGTGAAATTAAGATTAAGTTTTGTGAGTGAAATTTGAAATTTCTCTATTGAATATTTTTTGTATTAAATTTGAGGGCGCAGAATATTGATGATCAGGTCAACTTGTTACTTTAGAGTCAGTTATTGGCTTTATATCGGATATTGTGTATTGGACATGATGTGGCCTTTTGGGAGATTGCAAGGTTTCGTTGGCTAAAGGAAACAGGCAGTCAGATATTGGATGGTTCTTCCCTGTGTGAGGAAACCGGAGTTCCCGCAGTAAACCCACGAGGTTGTGAAGGCGGCCCTATCTCAAAGACACATACACTCACACTGTCAGGGATCAAACCCACGACTGCAAGCCAGAGGTGACCGACCAGATAGAGCTCGAAGTGCGACACTCTACACTCATCTAGATATTGTACAGCGTAAGCGAATACTTTCAATGGAAGATTAGACATTCGATAACACAATTTCGATGTGAAAAAAATCTTCCTTTAGATTAAGGACGTAATGTTCTTTTCCATAAAAAATAATATTAACTCGCCAAATTCTTTGAAGAATTGACACTGGTGATAATAAGGGACTAGATTATACATTGGAAGATTAGTAGTTTATGATATGTGTAACAAGATTCAATTCACGTCGTCCTTAATTCCCGTCCATTGATAATACAATATTACAAAAGCATGGAAGGTATGGAAGGTATGAGAAACTTACCACAGACAAATTGATGTGGTCAAACCAATCAGTGGATAAGGTTAATCGCTTTAAAGCTGTACGAGGAAGGGGTCGGGGGTTCTACGTCTCGTCCTTATAAAAACTTCGATTCTTTTTAGCCAAACATACGGTTAGTTAGATATCGTTATCCGGACACTGCTACTGAATGTTTGTATTTCTTAGAAAATATACCACAGCTACCGGCTAGATATCTCACAATAACTATCAGACTGCGTTGGTCATAAGTTATCTGCCCGTAGTTAGAAACTATGGACGAACTCGTTAAATTCAAATATTTAATTTCCGGGTAAATTAGTATCTGGGGGCTTAGATGGCCGAATGGTTAGCACGTGCGCGTTGTATCATAAGGCCTGTTATTGAGTCAACTGGCGTGGTTTCGAATCCCTGGTTGTACGTGACAAGGAGTAGGGTCGCCTGTCCAACCTCGTGGGTTTTCTCCGGGTCCTCCGGTTTCCTCCTACTGCTAAAGACCCCTACGCGTAAGCGAATTATTGAAATAAAATTAAACCATTTTTAGTCCCAAAATGACCTAGTTTGTGTCGAGTGGACGTTAACCCCCTCTCCCCCTCTCTCTCTCTCTCTCTCCCTCTCTCTCGCTCTCTCTACATTAGTATCTTGTGTAGCCTGTAAATGCAGCCCTCGTTAGATTGCCCCTGTCATCGAAATCCTGTAATAGTTCTACATATAAAGTTGCAATTTCATATTTTTAAGTTATATTTTTACAATTTATTAGAATAAAGCCTTAAAATAGATAGTATCTATTAACAGTCCTACCTTGGTAAAGAATAATCTTATTAATCCTATAATTCACTATTGCCAGTTGAGAAATTGGCAAAAATATCATTTTCATCTTCAAATTCCAACGTTTGAAGATAACTACTCCATGGTGGAGAATAGAAAACAAGGGAGGTAATTGGGAGGTAATTGTGTTATTATTTCCGGTGTAAATGAGTTTTAAGTGTGAGAATGACACCTATGATCGTATAATAGTGAGTTGACAACCTATTGAGCAAAAGACATAGAAATAATTATTTTTTGACTTTCTTAGAAAATATGAAATTGTAACTTTAAGCCCTGTCAAAAATCAAAGTCGTGTATATCTGACTGTGTCATTCCTCTCGCCAACGAAATCTTACAATCGCTCAAAAGGCCACGTCATGTCTGTACTTTCTGAGGTTTGGAGATTTTTGATATTGAAATTTATATATTTCTAAGAATGATGCATATCGAAACGAGCTTGCCTAGCAGTAATAGAAATTCTCGTTTAAAACTCGCTAATGCTCTGTTTTTTTCACACCTGGACTACTGCAATAGCCTCTATGTCAATCTGCCAAAAAATACCTTGTAAAGCTCAGTTCATACTACATCCGTATCCATTTACGTATCCGCATCCGTATCCGCACCCGCATCCGTATCCGCGTTTTGCCGTTCAAATAGAAAACGCGAAAACGTCCGGCTTTCAAGGCCGAATTGTCTGTTAGAGATAACATATTGTCATTTGCAATCATGGAGTCTGACAGTGACACAGAGGAAGTCTTTCTTTTGTATTTGTGGAACCAAAGACGAAAGAGAAAAAAGAGAGTAGAGGTCCATGAACTGTTACAAAGAAGAAAGAAATATGGAGAATACCACAACCTGGTGCAAGAATTGTATTTTCATCCGGACAAATTCAGACAATATTTCCTCTGTCCTGTCCATATTGTGTTCTTCACAAGGCAACACAAATCCACAGCACACAAGGCCAGGCTTTTCTTGGAATGGATTCAAATAGAATCTGGCACGTATTGCGCACAAAAACAACTGCGTCCGTTAAGCCGGATTGATTGCTCCCAGAGCGTATTTTTGTAAAGTGTGTCCGGCATTTCGGCTAGTGAGCCGAGCTTTAGCCAATCAGCGAGTACTTTCCCCTTATTACATCATCTCCCCAAATAGAAACTCAATCCATTCCAAGAAAAGCCTGGCCTTGTGTGCTGTGGATTTGTGTTGCCTTGTGAAGAACACAATATGGACAGGACAGAGGAAATATTGTCTGAATTTGTCCGGATGAAAATACAATTCTTGCACCAGGTTGTGGTATTCTCCATATTTCTTTCTTCTTTGTAACAGTTCATGGACCTCTACTCTCTTTTTTCTCTTTCGTCTTTGGTTCCACAAATACAAAAGAAAGACTTCCTCTGTGTCACTGTCAGACTCCATGATACGGATGCGGATACGGATACGTTTATGGATACGGATGTAGTATGAACCGAGCTTTA